CTGTGCTCACTTTGTATGACTCCAACCTTACAGCTATGACATCTTTGACCCTGGTCATGCAAAAGGACCTATCTCTGGACTTTATAATCCTATCTCTGGACTTTATAATCCTATCTCTGGACTTTATAATCCTATCTCTGGACTTTATAATCAAAGTAATTTCTGATGAATATGATAGGTGCCAAACATGGATGAAGAGAGGTAACTGGAAACTCCAGAAATTCCAAAGACACAGCCTATTCAGCAAAGGATGGAAAGAAGTCTACTTGCAAAAATTGCAGAAAGAAAGGTCATGTGTGAGACCAATGCTGGGAAGAGGGTGGCAGAAAAGCTGGGCAAGTGCCCAAGTGGTTCCAGAACAAAGGCAAAGGGAAAAAGAAGGAAAGAGGCTCCAGAAAAGCAGCCAGTGCAGCCAGTGCATCAGCCAGCTTGAATGCACAGACCAGTGCTGACTCTGAACCCAACAGAGTTTGGCTAGTGCACCTGCAGGATGATGACTGGCTAATGGAAGTTGTGGAGGAAGAAATTCTGAACCCCCAGGATATCATTATTGACAGAGAAGATGCATATACAAACACCTTTGATCATGCTCTGCTCACAGGCAAAAGCCTAAATTCTGCAGAGGAGACCATCCTGTTCAAATCTGGCACTTCACATCATATGTCCTCCTACCACAGCAAATTCCTTGACTACAAGCCAATCATTCCCAAACCTATTACTGCTGCTGACAACCACACCTTCCATGCCATCAGGAAAGGCAACCTCACAATTTTACTCCCAAATGGCACTGTGCAAACCCACATTTGACTCAAGGATGTACTCTATGCCCCCAAGATGGGAATCACACTCATTTCTGTTAGCAAACTTGATGTCACTGGGTATGCAGCATTATTCCAAGACAAGCATTGTCAAATTTTCAATGCTCAGAAAAAGAAAGTGGCTGAAATTCCGATGCAAAAAGGCCTCTACTGCCTCAAATGAGCTCATTGTGCCTTTGCAGGCCTAGCTAAGGCCATGAAATCCTTAACCATGGAGGAGATACACATCAGGCTTGGTCACATTGCTCCTGAAGCCATCCAGTGCATGCTCAAAGATGGCACAATCACTGGAATTAAGCTGGATGAGGCACATTCCACCATGGGCATGTGCAATTCATGCAAATATGCCAAAGCAACTTGGAAGCCCATTGGGAAGGAGCATGACCCACCCTGCCATGAACATCTAGGCAATGAGGTCCACACAGATCTCTGGGGACCTTCTCTGGTCCAAACCCCTGGCCACAGCCAGTACTACATGTCATTCATGGACAACCATACCTGCTACACCAAGCTGTACCTCCAGAAGACAAAAGCTGAGACCTTCACATCATACAAGGCCTACAAAGCATGGCTGAACATGCAATTCAACACCAAAGTCAAGCAACTTCGCTTGGATCATGGGGGAGAATACCTTAGTGCAGAATTTTCAGGAATATCTGAAATCCCAAGGCACAGAACAATGCATAACCATCCATGATACCCCTGAACACAATGGAGTTGCAGAACAGCTCAACAGAACACTTGTTGAGTGTGTGTGAGCAATGATTCATGCCAGTGGCTTACCCAAGAACCTCTGGGGGGAGGCCATTATGAATGTGACTTGGCTCAAGAACCTGCTCATTGACTCATCATCTAGGCACCAAGACTCCCTACAAGATGCTCTACAACAGACCACCCAACCTCTCAAAAATCCCAGCCTGGGGATGTTGTGTCAAGGTCCATGATACCTCCAGCTCCAAGCTAGACATGAGAGCCTGAGATGGACACTGGGTAGGTTTTGACCCTGAGAGCAATGGCCACCACATCTACTGGCCAGACACACAAGCAATCAGAATTGAATGAAGTGTCATTTTCAAGTGCTGAGATGTGTCCATACCATATGGTGTGCTGCTCGAGGGGGAGCAGGGGAATTCTAACACCTCAGAAGGGAATTCCAAAGCCTCAAAATGAAATTCTGCAGCTTCACAAGGAAATTCTGAGGCCATGCAGACAGTTGAGCAACCCACTGAAGCAACTTCAGAAATTCCAAGGACCAATTCCAGACCCACTCAGAGAAAATTTCAAAACACCTCCACCTCAACCTCATCATTCCACTCACCAGCACTTTGAATCAGACTATATGAGGTACTTACATGCAGGTGAAGGCACTTGTGATGGACACATCCCTCTCAACTTCATAAAAGAACTCTGAGAGAGCAATAGCAACCCAAACAGCCCTGAAATCTCAAGAAAACACTACCTATGTATTTGATGACAAACTAGCTGCTGATGAAGATAACACCAACATGGTGTATGCTATGGTGGCAGGGATAGCTGAAGCTGAAGGGCTGGACCCATCAACAGTACATGAGGTGAAACACCAAGCTGACTGGCCTAAAGTGGCAAAATGCCATAAATGCAGAATTTCAGAGCCTAGAGGAAGTGCACACCTGGGATGTTGTTGAGTGCCCAAAAGGTGCAAATGTCATAGGATGCAAATGGGTCTTTAAGATCAAATGCAATGCTGCCAGAGAAATTGAGAAGTACAAGGCCCACCTAGTTGCTAAGGGCTACTCTCAGATCCAGGGCATTGACTACAACAAAACATATGCTCCCATCACAAGACTCACATCTCTCTGCACCATACTTGCAATTGCTGCATGCAATGACTGGGATATCAATGTATTCAATTTCCACTCAGCATTCCTCAATGGCAAACTTGGAGATGGCAAAGACATCCACATGGAGCTCCCTGAGGGCTATGCTGTAGGGCAGAATTTTTCCTGTCCAGTTGGGAAGCTAAATGTTGCATTATACAGCTCAAAACAAGGCACACTCCGATGGTACCAGAAGCTATGTGCCACTCTTGCAGATCTTGGACTCACCAGGGCACATGCAGACTGGGGAGTATTCTATGGTCACATAGGACCAGAAATTCTCATTCTTTCCAGCCATGTCAATGACTGCACTGTAACAGGCAGTTCCCTGTCATTAATTTGCTCATTCAAACAGGAGATAAGCACTTGTTTTAAAATCTCTGACCTAGGGCCCATCAGTTGGCTACTTGGGAATGAAGGTGACATGGAACAGAGAAGCCTGCACCATATTGCTATCCCAGCAGTCCTACATTGAGGCCATCCTGATGAAATATAACCTTGCCAACTGCAAGCCTGCTGCAATTCTGGTGGACCCTGGCATAAAACTCTCCTGTGGAGAAATTCTGCAGCCAGCCAAAGAAGCTGCATGCATGAAAAATGTACCCTACTGTGCCACTGTTGGCTCCCTCATGCACCTCACCATTGGAACATGCCCTGACATTGCATTTGCTGTCTCCACAGTCATGCAATTCAACAACACACCCAACATGACTCACTGGGAAGCCATGAAATGAATCTACAGGTATATCTCAGGCACAAAAGCACTTGCTTTGACATTCAGAAATTCAGAATGAGGCCTTGAGGGCTATACTGATGCAGATGGAGCTTCAGCAGGAGCATCAATGCACTATAAGTAGATACACCTACCTACTAGATGGTGGAGCTGTCAGTTGGGCTTCACAGAAACAAGAACTCATCACACTCTTGACTGCAGAAGCAGAGTACATTGCAGTGACCCATGCAGCCAAGGAGGGCCTATGGCTTTGACAACTCAATCAGAGAGGTTTTCTGACCACTCAAAGATCCTATCCCACTGTATTCTGACAGCCAATCTGCCATCACACTCACTAAGGATGGCAACTACCATGCTCACACAAAGCACATTGACATATGATACCATTTCATTCATTTTGCTGTGGAAGACCATTCCTTTTGTTTAATTTATTGTCCTACTGACAACATGGTTGCCAATACCCTTACCAAACCTTTACCTAGCATCAAGGTGAAACACTTTGCATCTGCACTCAGACTCCATTCCAATTAGGGGGGAGTGTCAAGAATGCATTCCAGAATTATGGTAGCCTCTTGGAGTTTTGCCCAGAGGGCTCAGAATTTCTCCCCAACCCTCAGAATTAAATTCCAATGTCACTATGCTTACTAATTATGGTACTATAAATTTTCTGCACTGTTCTTTTCCACCTCAGTGACTTCTTCATACACTGAGGTGAGCATACTTATACTTACATTCATTTACTTGGTACTGACATAGTGTAGATACTCATAGCTTCATTAGGTACCAATATAGTGACTTCTTCATACACTGAGATACTCATAACTTTGTTAATTCCTGATACTTGTCTGATGCAGGAAACAGAGATACAGGAAGGGTATCAAGGAGATCATGCACATATTGATTTTCCGAATCAGCATGCACCCATGCATCTCAGATATGTCGACATGCAGATTGTACAACTGTCGTCAAGGAACTTCCAAGGAACAGTGGGCTGGTAGTCGGAAAGGTCATCCTTACAGACTCCCAATGACAACGAGCAAGACTCAGTGGACGCTGGGTTCTGAGATTTGTATATGTCGCTGCCACAAGGTTTCTGCAACCGGCGACCGGGTCATGACACGAGGTGCTTAAGTTGACCAATGGCATCACCACAACCCTGCGCTGTTGGAGCTGAGTGGACACCCGAACAGGCATCACCGTGTGAGATTAGATGCCATAGATGCAGATAGTTGCGACAGACCTTCCTTGCCCAACAACCATTTGTAAAAGTTTCCACAGTGATCGTGTGTACCTCTAGGTGGAATAAGTTCATGGACTCGCACAAAACCTCGACAGAGATTCGCGATTGCTAGGAGTGTTCGTTGAGGGCAGGGGAATCTCACAATCAGCTCAGCTCTCGAGCAATGTGTGTCGTTTAGTAATGAATGGCATGATCTAGATGGAGTGCAGAATACAGTGAAACTGAGAGTCCGCTCCGAGATTATGTACACTGCAGCACACGCGCCTCGAATCCATCCACCACAGAGCATGAAAATGTTGATATCTTGCGGACAAAACATGCTTGCCAACGCCTGCTTCCTGCACAGAACCGCCCTAAGAAGCAGCGCTCATCTCAAGCAGTGCTTCAATACTTTTCCCGAGGTCACCTCCGTTAGCTTCTAGTACCCATTCCCGAACCTCGGCGTCCATTCCGGGGAAGATCTGTGCAAGAGTAGCACGGGACGCTGCGCTCGCGTGTGCGTGTGCTCTGTCGATCTCAGCCTGGACAGCAGTAAGATCAAGAGAAGGCGTTGGTGTCCGAGAGATGTGCTGTGGTTGGTTTGGAGGTTGCAGGTGCTGAGGGAATGGATTGAGGGGACGGGACCATGATGGTGCTTGGACACTTTGCGAGGGGCCAAGTGCAAGGGGTTGATTCGTGTAAGGACCGCCCTGAAAGGATCTGGGTCTGGTTGGGGTTCCCTCATTCACGAAGGACGGGGTGGGAGATACAGCCGACACCTTGCGCACTCGTGGTTTATACGGCGTCTGTAAAGGTTGCCCATAATTGTCTCCGCTCGCAGGCGTTTCCGGCACAGAATGATCAACCGTAGTCCTGCGACTCCCGCTCCCTTCGCCAGCTCCCTCACGGGTACGTTCCCTCGCCAATTCCAACGGAGCGAACGGCCCTGGAAGGTACGCCATCTTCTCGTCAAAGGCCTCGCTGAAAATGCGGCTGATCGCGTTAAGTGGCTTGGACACAGCATCACCAGTTTTCTGTAAGAGTCGGCGAGCGTCCTCGGACAGGCTCTGGGCGTGGGCTTCCGAAGGAGTACGAATGGTAAGAGGTTGAGCGGATTCCTCTCCTGCATGAGAGCTTCGCGATGGCGCAAGGATTGATGGACTCAAAGAGGAAGCGGATGAAGTTGGTGATGTGGGTAGTGAGGGCGGTAATGAACGGATCGCTGCTTCGACGTTACTGTGCGATCGCAATCGCGTGAGCACAAATACCATGGATCACATCGTAGCCCACCGTTCGAACTCCTCTTGGGTAATGTTGGATAGTGAGGTATGGTCCATGGTTTCAATGAATTGGACTGCTCCCATCTGTCGCAGAATCAAGAGATGAGAATGGTAACAATCCCGACGCTACCCTTCTCACCAAACTCGAGAGGTAATACCCCGCCTCACTCTGTAATTTGACCGGGTTTCGAAAACGGTTGACGAACCTGGAGCACAAGCAGCACTGAGGAAAGCCATGACAACATCGACTCGCCAACTTACTCTACATTGGATAGTAGATGGTCGGGATTTGCTTTGAGGACTACATAAATCAAAATCGGAACGAACGAATCTGCCCCTTCGTCCTTGTGCAAATGGCGGAGTAGACCTGAGACAAGGGTTAAGGAAGGTACAATTTAAGCCAAGAAAAATAGCACATGGGAAAGGCGACCAACCGAAAATAACCTTGCAGCAGTTTAGAATACATATGAGCTTATCTCTGGGTGCCTTGTAGTGGTTGACTTTGCACAACTCTGGCTCGACGGATTAACGGTAAAAACCTAGAGCCGGTGGAAGAAAGCAGGATGATATATACCTTGTTGCGCGAAGTCCAAGAACCCCATAACGGCAGGATCGTCGTTCTCCAGCTCAGCCGCGTCAAGATGAGAAGGCATCACCCATTGGAACAGCACAATTCGCTGCGACAAAACTCTATCTCGTTCGAGATCATCAGCTGTGACTGGTCGTGGCGGGTTGAGCAGTGGAAGGTTGGGGGTAAATGTACTTGAGGGGACTGATGGATCAGAACGGACACCAGGCGATGACGGTTGAAGACGTAGATGCACTCACAAGTCGTAGAGCTTGTTCATTACTAATTTCTCCATCCCCTCCATAGCGTTATCAAACTCGACATCGCTGGCGTTCCGCCAAATATCTGTTTCTCGCATCTTACTGGAGATGAACTGAAAGATAAATTACGTCACACTTAGTACACGAGACACGCAACCCTGCACCGTTCACGTACGTTGAGGAAATCATTTATGATCTTGACTTGGTCATTAACGGTGAACGTTCTCTTGGCAAAGTTGCTGAGAAATCTGTCATTACGGTCAATGAACAAGTTCAAAGGGTAGGATAAGACGACACTCACGATCTCAGAAACTTCGCCACCGGCTCCGCGCTCCTCGACTTCATTTGATCCAAGAACTTTTGGAAGTCAAATGATGGATCCTTGTCTTTACGCGGGACTTCTGATCCGCTCCCTGAATTAGTAGGTGTAGATGACTGACGATCCTGATCCTGCGTGCCCCGGCTCTCCTCGATGTTCTTTTCCTCCTGAACTGGTGCTTGATTTGACAAAGGCAATGAGGAGCTGGGTTGGGAACAAGGTGGCTGCTGCTGCTGAGCAGCAAAAGAAGCGACTGTGCGGGGTGTAGGCGGTGCGATAGGTTTAGCTGTGTCCATCGATGTCGGTCTTGGTCTCGTTGTCCTTGCGACACCGGGTATAGAGAAAGTGCGGGCGATGGCCGCAAGAGAAGGGAATGGTGATGCAGAAGGAACCTGTGATCCAGGAGTGCTTGGTCGAGATGGGGGCGTTGCCTCGTTAAGAGATAGATCGAGTGAAGGTGACCGTGAACGACCGGGGCTCCCATTCGCGCTCTGCGGCGAGACATCTGGCGGTGGATGGCCCTCGGTACCTGCCCAAGCACAATGCGCATCGAGCTCTTGCTGATCCGAAAGCGGGTCAAACTCGCGCAGCACGTCTCCGGGGGGTACCACGTTTGCTGCCTCTTCACTTGACCGCCTCGTCGTCGTCGAGTTTGTTGTTAAACCTAAAGATGGATGTCTCTTCTCGACAAGCCGGATCCGGCGTGCTAACTGGCTTTATCTCAAGCCTCGGTAGTTCCTCCGCCCATGGATTTGGACTGTTTGATCGTAGGGGGAGGACGGGGACCTCGGAATGGATTGGAGCCTCCGCAGTATTGCTAGCTTGGCGAAAGCTGTTGAGAGTGGATTCTAGCGTAGAAAGATCTGGTTCGTCATCCGTACTGGGCGTGTTAGACATTCCGGCGTGTGTTTCTCAACGATACATAGAAAATATTGTGGATCGGTACGTATCCAGGGGTATTAGACAAGTGGCAACCGCTGCAGCTCCACACACCAGACAGGGGATCAGCAGAACGGGTCAATTTCCTCTTTCGAACGACGACCCCCATCATTTACGGGCTATCAGTCAAGCAAATAGGCTACTGCACACTCTACTAAAGTAACTTTCATCGTGTTCGTACTTCCCAGGCCGAGTCTGTTTGTTACGAGAACTCAAAGGCTGTCATCCTTGCATCTACGGAAACCGACGTAGTTCGAGATGTCATTCCCCCCAGGTATGTGAATGAGATACGTACCCGCAGTCAGCCGTATGGTCAGGGGCTGTAGCTTGAGAGGTTGCGATGTTCATAATCCACGCACCGAAGACTATCATTCGAGCCTAGCATACCGGTCTCTCGTGAAGAGGGACGAGAATGCAAAGCGCGATAACAATGAGGGTGCATTTGTACACTTTTTATCTCCCTGGAAATGAAAACATTCGACCTCGGGGTTCATGTGTACTTTAAAGCAACCAAGGGGCAATACGATATCCGTGAGACACGACGAAGCATTTGCATGGTGATTAAGTTTCTCTGAATCAAAGGAAGGTCGGCGCGTTTCGGACACTTTCGTGCTGGTTTCCGTTCGGACTCAGAAACAGCCCCTCGGGATTTCTCTAGAACCTAGACGTATGTATTCCTCACTTCATAGAGGTAATACTGCTCGGAAGAAGAAGGAATTCAGAAACTTCATACATCAGTCATGTGAACGTACGTTACCTTCGCCCATTCCGTTTGATGGGCAGGTCATGTTGGCTTACTAGAAAAGGCAGAGATAACGCACTAATAGGTGCTGTCGCTGCTTTCATTGAAAGCAGAACGCAAGCCATACTTGATTGGCGAAAATGACCGTTTTCTGCAGTGTGTCGACCTGAATACTTGGACGGTATCCCTCTATACGCCGTGATACAAGAGGTTAGTTGGCGGAGGACGAGTCTTGCCTGACAACCTTGTCACCTCGAAGTACGCCAACAGTCCAGCCTAATAAGAGTGATCAAATGGACCACGGATCCTCCACAACTGCTTCCGTGCACCATCACGAACCCCTTGCACATGTACTGTGGCGACCGCAAGGATTCGAATTCACTAACGTCAATGGAAATTTGAAACCGAGGGAATACTTCCCCCTGACGTAAAATGCTGGGCTCCGCTCTGATTGCTTTGAAAATGGTGACTCTCCATCAATACCGGAACCCTATCAGTAGTCTCTTTGGGGAAGACTCCATCCAGCACCTACCTAACACCACACTCGAATGGTGTGCCAGTGGCGTATCGCGGAATCAACGCCGTGGCTTGCCAGTATAGTACTGAATGCGAGGGCAAACTGCAGCTGGAAAATCAACCCAGAGTAAGCCAGGGGTTTGGGTAAGCAGAACGTACCTTGAGCTCCCATAAGCTCATACTCAGCTACTGTTGCCGAATTGTTGCCGATTCCGAGTTATTGATAGGCTGAGCGCTGAGCTTTCAAATCTATATCTCGCGGATGGTTGCTGCGATATCAATTCAGCATGTCATATTGGTGCTATGGTAGCCACAACCATCGGCATTATTCGGGATGCCTTTCAGGAGGTTTTCTTTGCGCCTGTCACCATCATCTTCAAGGCGCCGGTCCGAGGATCTGGAGAGAATTAACGCATATTAATATTATATGAACAGTGACATTGATATATGGGACACCTGTCAGCGCAGACATAGGTGCACTGTATCAGACTGCATCCGCGTCGCCAGACCAGAGTGTCTACATACCACGCACAAGTATCACGACAGGAGCGCCGAATACACGTGTATTGTGCGTTCAAGCTTGACAAGACCTGACGAAACGGATCTGACTCACTCAAATAGCCGAAGCGAAGTACGAGTTGCAGGCGCTGCTCAGCAGCGAGGATCGGAACTGTGATGGCGCATGTGTTCCGACGATCATTCGGAGGACTGTTAGCATAACGCATAAATGGCTTACCAGTGGAGACTTCCATTATTGCCTCGTCCGACAACCCCGGCAGCCCACTTCAGCCAATGTAGTACTATGAAGGCAGTGCCAACATTGTCAGGATTCGAATGCCGTAAGCGTTATGACAAGGCATCCAATAAGAATAAGAATGGCGTCGAATGTTCAGGTAGCTGCCTGTTTTCGTATATACAAGTTGGTCATGACATCCATTTACATGAAATCTGATAAGGAGTGCGCCACCTGTGGACAAGGTAGGAGCTTGTACAGCGCTTGACTGACAATGGTGTGCTATGGTGCTAAGCGAACCCCACATCCGTGGGTATGAACGTCACAATATATGAAGTACTTACCCCGCACTTACAGTAACGCCGAAGGTCGAAGGCGTTGTATCACAACTGAACGCGGAACAAGTATTAAGTGGGTGGAGTGCATGTTCCGGTTGCAGTAACGTCAGTTTCCAAGCACTCAGGTACACAGCCGCTTCGATTCGTCCAATCCGCGTCCAAAGTTCCTCGCCACACGCATACAAATGTGGCGCACTGCGAATACCGGGTCATTTTACCCATCCAGGGTAACGGACACGGGCGCTCTCACCCCAAGTTGGCACCCTTCATGTGAGGAAGTACTAGGAAGTGGCGTGAGGCACCCACCATGGTATTAAAACTACCGACGTAACCTCCCCAGACCAACCTTAGATGGACATATCGTGCACAACAGGGGAAAGGACAGCCCTTCGCGATCCCGGGTCTTGAGCAAACATCCGACAGCACACAGGACCCGTAACCATACTGCAGAGTCCCTGGCGCCATTCTCCTGGAGCGACACTAGCTTACTGGTCGTGCTCGTGTGTCATCGAACCCAGATCCCCGCAGCTTCCCATAGCAAACTGCCAGTCCCAGCCAGCTACGGCAAACCTTGACCGTAGGGTTTATCAGATTTGGCATTCGTGCGTGTTGCAGCTCCACAGGATGAGCCGGCGTTATGATTTATGTAAAAAAAAGTTCCACTGGATGATCCTAACGGATAAAACCGAGATGTAGTGTCGCAGCATGACTGTAACCTTGCCTACGCAAGAAGCTAGCACGCAGAAAGGGCAAGGACCATCCGGGCATCCACGGACCCTCAGAGCCTCGAGAGGCACGGAGAGCCCGAATGCTGATTGGGTGATGATGGTGGGTGTGACCACAGGAAAGGGTTTCATGAACCGATTTTGCAAATGGGGGGGGCCATGACTGCTGTTTTGGGGTCGCACAGACCTGGACTAGACCTGTGCCCCAACTGTGAGCGAAGACAACTACTTTTGGATTCCTTACATAGGACCAACGGAAACGATCGCTAGATCTCATCATCGTACGGCGGCCGAGCACAGTTCGGCGATCGCGTTTAATTGGGGGCGGGATGCCACCCCAAGCCGAGTTGTATACGCGTCATTGCAGAAAAGGAGCGCTACCCGTCTCTGGATTAACACTCACGACGTCACATAGGACTGGCTAATGCGTCGGGACTAGCCTGGGCCAGCGCCCTGACAGCCCCCGTCACTGAATTGCATTGATCCAGTTAGCTTTGAACGTTCCCCTCCGGTGCCAGACGGTCACGCCGGACCTCACTGGCCACGAAGGCATGCCGTCTAAGGGATTCTGCCATGGCCAACACGCCAAGCAACGTGAGAAGAAATTCTCTCAGTCGCCAGAGTGCTGGAGGGCGGAAGAACCACGTGACGGCATGCAAGAACAAATTGCCTGTGGCAGTCACTAGATATACAGCTAAATTTGACCGGTTCGAGTCCTGATCAGTGTTTGGATGTGCGGAAAAACAGCGGATATACTGTGCGTGCGCGGGAATGGGTTACTTCCGGCGAAGTATGTACGGTGATTAAGGCTGCGGTGGACGTCCGGAACATACCCGTGGATGGTGTGTAGTAAGGTGCAGTTGCAACGAGTCAGGACCCTATTGAGCAGCGCCGTTGGAATTTAGTGCTACAGGTAGCTGACGACCCCAGGTCATACGGTAATCGGAACACGGCAACTAATACAATATCATCCATCCATGTCGGGCGGGACGATATGTATTTGTATTATATAGCACGGTACATATAGCAGGTCCGAGGATCAATGACGTGCGAGGAGAGAAAGAGCCAATAACAGCCAATGATCTGGGTCGTCGACGAGGCGTTTGATTGAGCGCGACGGACAAGCTCGGACAAGTCAGGTACTGGCCATGACAGCAAGCAAAGGCGCCGGAAGCCCGCTGTCTCAATGTTCGGAAGTTGGTTACGTGACCGCTGAAACGGCTCGCTTCCGAGGAACATGAGGAGCCTCAAGGTTAATACACGACAGGGCTTGGAGAATGAGAGGCAGGCAATGTTGCAGGGAGGTTGGCGAATGGAAGACGATCGCGTGTGGGGCAGCTGTGGGGGTGATTGGACAATTCCTCTGATGGTGATTTTGATTGGGCGGCAAGTTCCGCAAAAGTCGAGCGCGTCAATCTGGTGGACAGATCTCGATCGTGGATCTGAGCTAGACCGTGTTACTTGTGACACTGACGAAGAGAAGCGCGTGAATAAACGATACTAATCATAGTCATAGAGACTTGTTAATGGCTGTCGATTCACTAAGGGGTGTCGAGTACAAAGGCCCATCGGAGTGACACGGGAGGGGGTGTTGCCGAGCTGCCGGGGTGGAATAACGCGTGGAAGTGCCGTGGGAAGGATGGCGCGGTATCCGGAACGAAAGGAGTTTCCTAAACAGGCAGGCAGCCCAACGGCACTTGGTGGGATTTGAAGAAGGCCGAATTTTCAGTTGGTTGTCACTCTCTGCCCCTCCCCTGCTTTGACTACAGAATCCCTCGTCGTCCTCGTCGCGGGCGGGGATATGAACCACTAGTGTTTCCTTTTTAGACTTGTCTCTGCGATGGCGAACTATCTGCCAGTCTTGCTGGGCTCATTCGCTGCCGTGCCAGACGACTCTGTGTTAGTCCGACCTGCCCTGTGGTCAAGTAGACTATCTGTCCCACGAATGGCGTGAGGAGGATGTATGGCGCTCATGGCGGAACATGACCCGTCTCAAGAACGAAATAGCCAACGGCGTCCGTCTCGAAAACGCCTCCTGGCGCACCTGGTGGAAAAAGCGCAACGGTCTCAAGACCGTCACCCCAGAGACCCTCAACTGGTACGTTTGTCCTTTCTTCCAGCGATCGCCTCTCGATTGAACACCTTCTCCCAACAGGCTGAAGGACTCGGACGTCACTTGGCTATACGGCCCCCTCCACACCGCTATCCCACCCCCCTACACCCCCAAGCCATCTCCTACCACCGCCGCTGCCTTGGACCTCCCCTCTACCCCTTCACCCACCCTCTCTCAGCCACCGGGTGGCTTCGTCAGAAAACCAATTCTCAAGCACCGCTCTATATCGGAACTCCTCACCTCCGACTTCCCACTCTCTCCCCTGTTCAGTCCTCCAGAATCTGACGATGAAACCCAACACCCATCCCTCGATAGCGATGCCCAAGACATCGCAGTCCCATCGAGGCCTTCCTTGATGCACACAAAGAGCGACACCCACATCACGAGGTGGGGTCCAAATCGCGCCTTTAGGCGAGATTCGCCACCACGGATCATCCCAGCCTGGTGCCCCCCCTGCAGCCGAGATGGAGTCTGCCTTGCTACAACCCCAAAGTCCTCCCGATGTCGTGCCACAGAAACGTAAACACATCAGCTTCAACACCTTTGTCGAGCAGTGCATCGCTATCGATCAGCCTCAGAAGAGGATCTCGCCCTGCGGCACAAGAACCTCGAGCGGGCCCAGCGCTCGATCGAACACACTATGGTAGCAGCTTTGTTCTAGACGATGATGGGTCGGTGTCTGCTTCTCACTTCACGGATAGCACATTAATATCCCGCGACTTGGATCTTCATAGGTATGATGAAGACTCCGAAGATGGCGTCGTAGGCGAAACCGAGGAAGTTACTCTTCGGAGATGAGGATGACCTGCCGCGTGCTACGGGTGCATCCTACTCCCAGGATCCTCAGTGCCCGCCTGCCGTCGCATTCTCCCCATCCGCCACATAACACCTCACCCCCTTCTTCTTCGTCCACGTCAGAAGACTGATGACGATGACGTGTTGGAGATGCGCGCTCGGCACATCCCATCAAGTCCTCACGTCAGCGTCCCCCGGTCCTCCTCGCAATCGTCGTCATCGTCCTCTCAATCCCGTCCTCCCAACGCACGCACTGCCTACCGCAACGGTCGGCGTTATGGAAGCGCCCAGTCTATCGTATCGTCACCGAGCATCGATAAGGAGCTTGTCACCATCGCCCTCATCGCTCCTACCATCTTAAAGACCAAGGCGGACGAGGAAGACTACCCATTCCCACACCTCCAGGCACCATGCCATCAGTAGCCCGCATCAGCCCCGTGCACCGCAAGGGAACCATTGGGAACCATACAGCCCACAGGACTTGCCCGTAGAGCTGGTTTACGTCCCACCTCGTTATCTTTACTCGGAGATGGCCGACGATGCGGAGCCTGGCTTGCAGGACCAGAAGTCGGCGTACCAGGCCAGCCTGACACCCCGGCCCAAACTCTCCCGCCATCCGATGACCACCTCACCCGATCAGCAGGAGGAAGATCCCATCCATCAGGGAGTTCGCTGATGCAGCCGACACAGGAAGCGAAGCTGACATCCGAGTCTACCGTTGAGAGTGCCCTAGAGGTCATCGTCGTCTCTGAAGAGAGTCCACGCTGACCGCTCACGTTCGAGGTCGCGTTCGAGATCACGGAGTCGTTCGCGTACGCCGTCGCCAAATACCATCACTACAGACCAGCCAGAGGCGGCACCCTCATCCATTGTTACTGTTCCCGTGTCTGGTGCAAGTGCTCCGTCGTCGTTGTCTTTGCTGTCTCCACCTGATCGTAGTCTATCGCGCGGTCGTTCCTCATCCTCACCGATGCTATGTTCGCAGACTCAAACCGAACAACCTCGCGGTCGCAGTATCACGCGGACGTCGTCCTTCTCTGATCGGAGTAATGTCACGTCCAGGTAGTCCGTTTGGCAAGCATAAGTCCCGAGGGCGGTATCGGTTTCGCTATTGGCGTCTATTCCGGTGATCGCGATCGGGAACGAGACACAAGGCGAAGGCGGTGAGCGAGGTCGGGAGCGGGAGCGAGTTGGACGCTGGGGTGGCTCAGTGTCAGGTTCGAGCCCCAGCTCAAGCACGAGCCCCGAGGACCAACGGCAACCACCTCAACCTGTAGTAGCTGTCGAGCACCCGACCCTGGTACCCACTGCGACTCCTCAGGTCCAGATCGAGTCCTTCTATTGAGTTACGAAAGAAGTCGTCATCGATATCAGTCGTCGTCCAGCTCGTCAACCGCGTCTGCTATGTCGACTGCCTACGGCTCGACCCCCGCCTCGTCCTCATGGTCGATCCCAAGCCCGTCACCCAGACAGACTTCACTGAAGCGCCCTTATGTACCTTCGTCCTCCGCAATGTATGCTTCTCCACCTTCGCCATCTCTCGTACAGCTTATGAAGGATGATAAGGAACGGACATCGCCCAGCCGTTCTCCCACGCGTAGTCCAAGACATTCCCAGTCGTCTACCTCCACCTGCCATACGCGGAACTCCTCTGGCGGCGGCTCGCGGAGTCCGACCAGGAGACCCAGAGAGGATCAGCAGGGAGGAACGCTGGTCGGTCGTGCGGTTGAGATAATGTCCAATGCGGGCGCTTTCTTGGGATCGTTTTGGAGTGCAGGCACTCAGACGGGAGTAACAACGCCTTGACGCTTTCTACCGTGTATCACCCCCTCGGTGGTCAATATGCTTGCTCTATTTATCCGCTCTATTTGGAACTACAAGATGAATTTTCGCTCCGGGCTCGGGTCTGACCTACTTCCCTCCTAACCGCTTTCCTATTTGTCATCGTGCATATATCCCGCCTTTATTTTCTTCTCGGAGGCATTGTTTCTTTGTTGGCTCTGTTTTGTTCCATCAACGCACGGATCATGGCCTTCATCCACACATAATGCATAGGGTCGATCGGGTAATAAATAGCGTTTGCGCATACTCTAACTCTCCTTCCACATTCACATTCCCTGTTACTCTTTTCCTCCCCTTGTGCACGCTGCAGGGCTCCGCTGGTGGGGATAAACTTTTTTTTTGTTCTCCCTCTCCTTCTGAGCTGCGGTTTTATACATCCATCATACATACTGATACTCGGTGGTCCATGTTGGTCCCACCTCGCTGATCATCCTCGTTCCACTGTCTCATCTGTACTGTATGAGTGTATTACCTAACTCCCCAGGCGGTACCAGTTACAATGTGGTAGTTAGTCTACTTTGGTAGTTGATGTAGAAAGTGTATGAGGTGTCTATAGATTTTTTTTCTTCTTGTACTTATAAAAAGTCTGATATTTGCCAGTGGGATGACAGGCCTTTCGCATGACGTCAATATGTATCGCGGTGACTGATAGAGCGATTCCGCAGACCCCAGCCATCCACTGCTGCGACGACCGAGGTGCCGTTGCTAGATTTTGCAACCCTGCGACCATGCCTGTTCCACGTAACATCATCGAACAAATCAAGCAGATAATTCCCCCCTTGAACGGCACGTTGCACAAGGGACAGTCCGGTGAGTCTTACCCGGCAGAGATCCACGTATATGTGTAACCGCCAATTATCATCATTATCATATGGGGGCTTTGTATGGCCAATGGTATAGGTAGAGTAGGCGTTTTGGGAGGGGCAATGGAGTGAGCCTGTTACTGCACCTCTCTTCCCCGTGAGCGTCGACCCTGCTGACGAGCTACCTCAACGTCGTCAGTTATACGGGCGCACCGTTTTTCGCGGCGATGTCTGCGCTTCGCTTGGTACGTTCGTTCTCATTTGGTTTCTACGAAGTGATGTGCGAGATGGTGGGATTGCGGTCCCTACTTGTAGGGTGCGGACCTTTCGCATGTCATATGTGCACCGACAGCTGCGCAGGCGATCAAATCATACTCTCCAGACTTGATTGTCCATCCTATTCTTAAGGAAGATGCGTAAGTCTACCTTTTTCCGGTTATTAATCCCCCCCCATCAGACCTGGCTAGTTTCTACGTTGCATGAAGAGAACATAACATAAGGCTTATGTGCTATAATGGTCTTTTCTTTCTCTTTCTGCAGGCCACAGGACAGGGTGAAAAAAGAACTTGACTCTCTGCTTTCCCGTTTGCACGTCCTCGTCGTCGGACCTGGGCTCGGGCGAGAAGACTACATGCAGAACTATGCCAAGATGGCGTTGCGCCTCGCCCGAACCAAGGCGATGTTCCTCGTCCTAGACGCAGATGCGCTGTGGATGATCGGACAGGATCTGTCTCTCGTAAAGGGATACAGGCGCGCGGTTCTGACACCGAATGTAGTCGAATTCAAGAGATTGAGTGAACAGGCAGGTGTGGACCCCAAGTCCGTGCCAGCTGAGCAGAGGGCCGCAGAGGTGTCGAAGCGATTGGGTGGCGTCGTCGTGCTGCAGAAAGGTCCCAAAGATCTCATTGCAACCGATACGACGGGTGAAGCTGCGAATTTGGAAGAGAGCGGCATCCGCCACGTACTGGACGAGGAAAGCCAGAAAGTGAAGGAGGTGATTGAGGTGGACGTTGAGGGCGGGCTCAAGAGGTGCGGGGGGCAGGGTGATGTGCTGAGCGGGACAGTTGGCGCCATGCTTGCATGGGGAAAGTGTTACGAAGATGGAGCATTTGGGTAAGTGACTTCTTGTCGTGATATACTTGGTATACGAGTTTGTGCCATTAATGTTCGATACCGATGTCTTCTAGGGATAAGAGCATCCCGGAATCTCGTCTTCCGATTCTGGCAGCCGTCGGCGGAAGTATGGTGACGCGTACGAGCAGCAAGCGAGCATTCCGCGTGGAGGGGCGTGGACTCGTTACCCAGGATATGATACCCTACCTTGCGAAAGCCTTTGCGGAGAACTTTGGAGAAGACCTGCAAGCTGGGGAGAGAGGGAGACTTTAAGGCGGTGTTCTTAGTGTTTGAAAAGGACTCATAGCACGAGGTTTCATGTGTGTCGGCCATTATGTGGCAATCAACATGCTTAGGGATGAGGTGAGGACAGTCTGATTTGCTGGCAGTTTTACACGCTGCAACATGTCTGGCCTACAATCTCCGAATCGGATGATGATGGTAGCAAGTTGCAATCCACATTCCATCATATGATGAAACACTTACCGTGTATCGGTGCTTGAAGCACATAAAGACGAATGCCTATCTCATCGGAGATCATTAGTGTATGGAACAGACCCGCAGAAATCAACGAGTGTTGTTCCGATATCACACGACCGACGTAGTTCCTCGGCGAACGTGTCCCGCCGTATTCGCTGGCGCAATGGACTCGCGGAGGGAGGCGGGTATAGGCAAGTGGCACGTGACCACGCGTCATTGGGTGGATCCGATAGACATAAATGGTGGATCCTTTTGAAAGTTGATCAGACCGTACTATAGTAGTGTCCCAATCGTGCTAATGGGCTATCAAGTCAAGGAGGTCTCAACCAAGCCATATGACGGCCAGAAACCTGGTACTTCTGGTCTTCGTAAGAGGTACTTGTCGCGTTTTTCGAGAGAATCGGAACCTATTTGATCGACGATCTGCATGCAGGGTAAAGGTGTTCCAGCAGGAGGTGCGCACAATAATCGCATCTGGTTGCATGGCATAGTGGACCTGAAAGTTCCCCCCTCTGTAGCACTACACTGAGAACTTCATCCAAGCCATCCTCGATTCTATCAAGGCAGATGGTGCAACGCTTGTCATCGGCGGGGATGGCCGGTATTTCTCTCCCGAGACTGTGCAGACGATCCTCAGGATCGGCTCCGCTAATGGCGTCAAGGAGTTTATAATAGGAAAGGACGCGATCCTGTCCACTCCCGCCGCCTCCAATGTCATTCGCAAGTACAAGGCCGATGGAGGTATCCTACTTACGGCGAGTCACAATCCCGGTGGTCCAAATAACGACTTTGGGATCAAGTATAACGTTTCAAATGGTGGTCCTGCTCCAGAGAATGTGACCAACAGGATCTATGAAGCCACCAAGACTATCCAAAAGTACAAAGTCATCGAGGCTGATCCCGTATGTCGTACTGTCTGGACTTGTCCCACTCACCATTCATCACGGTCCCTTTTCAGGTCGATCTTTGCAAGATTGGGAAAACAACCTATGGTCCGAGCCAGGTTCAAATCATCGATTCTGTGAAAGATTATGTTGAATTGCTCGAAGAAATCTTTGACTTCCCACTAATCAAGGACTTCCTCAATAACAACGCGCAGTCTTTCCGTGTCCTTTTCGATGGTCTTCACGGCGTTACTGGTCCCTATGCACGCGCCATTTTGATCAGAAAGCTCGGTCTTCCCGAAGCTGCTGTCCAGAACTGTGTTCCCCTCCCTGATTTCGGCGGAGGTCACCCTGACCCGAATCTCACCTACGCACATTCATTGGTAGAGGTGGTTGAGAAGAACAATATCCAATTCGGTGCAGCAAGCGATGGTGATGGCGACAGAAACATGATCTACGGCAAGAACGCGTTCGTCACGCCCAGCGATTCCGTAGCTATTATCGCAGATTCAGCAGATGTCATCCCGTACTTCAAAAAAGGCGGCGTCAAGGGTTTGGCTCGTAGCATGCCCACCAGCAAGGCCATCGATCTCGTAGCGAAGAAGAAGGGACTGGAATGTTTTGAAGTGCCAACAGGTGCGTGGACGGACTGGTGACTCGTCAGCGAGGTTCGAGCACCACTGACTCCATTCGGCAGGATGGAAGTTCTTTGGTAACTTGATGGATGCTGGACGACTCTCGATCTGTGGCGAGGAATCCTTTGGAACGGGCTCGGACCACATCCGGGAGAAGGATGGGTTGTGGGCCATTGTTGGTACGTACCCGCGTTCCATTTGCATGTTTCAATATCGAACTTACCCACGTTTCCATGCAGCGTGGCTCAATATCCTTGCTGCTGCTAACAAAGAATCACCGAACAAGCTGATCGGAGTTAAGGAGCTGCTGCAAAAGCACTATTCCATCTACGGACGTTCGTTCTTCAGCCGGTACGACTATGAGGAAGTTTCTTCGGAGGGAGCCAACAAACTCGTCGCGCTCCTTAACGACGCCATCAAGACATCTTCACTCGCGAACACCACCCATCACTCCAAGAGCACCGGTCAGGACTACAAGATTACTTCAGTGACGAGCTTCTCGTACAAGGATCCCATCGACGGCAGTGTGAGCACGAACCAGGGACAGATCGTCTTGTTCGACGATGGTTCCAGAGTTGTGTTCCGTCTGAGCGGAACGGGCAGTGCTGGTGCCACCGTTCGCATGTACGTCGAACGATATGTGGGTCCGGAGGCTGCCCCGGAGGAGCTCGGTAGGGACACTGCTGAGGGTCTCAAGGGTCTCATAGAAGTTGCTTTGGGGATTACCAAGTTGAAGGAGTTCCTTGAGAGAGACGAACCTACTGTTATTACGGTGAGCACTTGCATTTTTCTGTCGGTCACTATTCGTGCGTGTTCATGCTGGATCCGTAGTGATTGCTGCAGGCAGGAAGGCGAACAGCTTTCTATACGTAGTCGAGTTCTCACTTTTTTTAACGCGTAAGTAGACGTGTGTACGTATATTCCACCTCAACATCGCCTTCTAGAAGCAATGGAAAAGATCGTTAGAACGTATTTCCGCAGTGACCCCAAACTTTGATTTTACCGACCTCCCTGCTGTGCGAGTAAGACAGGTGATCCTGTGGTTCACGATATAAGAGAACAGCACAGAGCTCGAATGTTCTGGGATGGCAGCTGTATTTCCTGTGATAGATCTTGTTATTTGTGAAACTCTTTGGGAACCTGCCTCGATTGTAGTGTGTGAGCCACCAAATGGCCAGAGTCTGACCAGTGACCGGACATTAGTGTGATTCATGACGAAGACCGCCTGTGAGCCACAAGTTTAGCTCTTTCCACAGATAGTCACCAACCTTGCACTTAGGTTGGTTGCGTTGCGACGATTGACCGCGTATCACGGAAGCAGATGGTTCCAGCCGGTTCTGTGGAGCTATGGATAGACCACGATCGACACAAAAGTGGTCCATATGTTCCACTGTTCGGCTAGGGGACGTCAGTTCGGAAGGGCCACTTGGCACGTGTGGGCTGCGGTTGACATTGTCTTTCAGCTGCCAGGATAGAGAGGAAAAACTCTGGTTCCCCTCCTGAGGGATAGCAACAAGCCCTGGACGGGCAACTTAAAGCTCGAGCCTACATTTCGACTCCAGTCTGACTTGGCAAAGGACACAAAGTACGACAAGTTCGTCTTTGTCTTGAACATGGCAACTGAAGGGTATACATATATGGAACCATGATGTGAACGAAAAGGAACGGAGTATCTCATGCCGTACATCCCTGGTTCAACCGGACATGGACCCATAAATACCCTCAACGCGTGCCCCCGTGCGTTCCCGCTTTCTTTCCCCAACTGTTGCCTTGGGTCCCGTAATGCACGCTCTTTATTTCGCCGCTGTCGTGGCCGCCGTTCACTTTGGCACCCTGGTTGGTGCACACAAGTATTCTAGATCCCGTCACCACCTGTTTGCACGCACACCTCAGTACACGACCAACAAAACCTACACCGTTCAGGATTTCTACCAAGCGGAAGACTTCTTCAAGTGCGTCCTTGCACTTGTCGTACGTGCCCTTGTAATGCTCACTTCACTATTACCTCCAGCGAGTGGACTTTCTTCACCGGTTCAGACCCAACCGGTGGAAATGTTGCATACCAGAGCATGTCGGATGCCACCTCCAAAGGCCTTGCTTACGTAGATGACTGCGACAACTCGACTGTCCTTGCTGTCGATTCCACCAGCTCCATTCCAGCAGGTGGTAACCGCCCCTCGTACGTTGCTTTCGCTTGTAGTCCTGTGAGTTTGGCTAAGCGATCTTCAGTGTTCGTATCACGTCGAACAAGAGCTACTCTAGCGGTCTCTTCATACTAGATGCTGCCACCATGCCCGTTGGTTGTGGTACTTGGCCTAGCTTCTGGGTGGGTACCATTCAAGTATGACCTTTGAGATGCAGAGTCTGAGGTCCGTTTTTTTTCGCGCACAGAGTGTTGGACCAAACTGGCCTTACGCTGGAGAGATTGATATCGTGGAGGGTGTCAACAACCAGGCAACCAATCAAATGACGTTGCACAGCGGCACTAGCTCTGCTTGCACGATAGATACCGCTGTCAACACCAGCACCTCCGAGGCATACACCGGTCATGTCCTGGGTACAAATTGCTACAGTACTCCAAACGCGGATGCTGGTTGTGCGTTCTCTGACACAGATACTCGTTCCTTCGGGTATGGCTTCAACAATGCAAATGGTGGTGTATTCGCCCTCTTGTGGGACACTTCCCTTGGTATGTCTATGTGGCACTTTGCCCGCTCGGAGATCCCTTCGGATATCACCAACCGTGCTCCCAATCCCTCTAATTGGGGTGTACCTGCTGGCTTCTGGTCTTCTCAGACCTGTAATATTTCGGCCAACTTTTACCAGCACTCTCTAGTCATCGATACCACCATCTGTGGCAATTGGGCGGGAGGCGCGTACTCCAGTTCTGGTTGCCCCGGCACTTGCTCTGCCATGGTCGCAAACGCGACCAACTTTGCTAGTGAGTATTAGCTTCTTGTTACTCGGTGCTCTAATGAAGTAATCGTCTCCTCAGACGCTAAATGGATCATAAATTACGTTGCTGTCTACCAATGAAGGGCCATATCAACTATTATACCCGTATCTATCATTATATCCGTCAGCATTTTACAGGGGACATGTACATAGACGAGTCGCAGGTTTGACTCTATCTAATCCATGGGTTGTACTGGCTTCGACTTCATGGGGAATGAATAGAACTACATGAGTAGTAGCATTAATAAAACATGACATCAGATAATCAGATGTGAATTTTCCCACCTGCGAGATATCCCTTGACTCCTAACCACATCCCTGTAAAATCTCTGATGGATTCCCAGCCGCCGTCATCGCTCCCGGATTCCGACCTCATAACAACATGGCCGAAAAGGACTGCTAAGGTATCTTGCACTGTTAAACAACTCTCGAGTATCGGCTAACTTGATCTGTTTTTAGGCATGCACGAGTTGCAGGTGAACGATCTCTCATCTATGAGGTATCGTGTCATTGAGCTGAAAATCGGCTTTGGCTGCCTTAGACGAGACAAGATTCGTTGCGATGGTGAAAAGTGAGGAACGTTTCAACGGCATGTCATCTCATTTTAATCGTTTCCGACTCCGTTGGGTCACCGCAGGCCGTGCGGGGCATGTGTAAAGAAAGGATACACCGTCGACCAATGCACGGACGGATGCGAGAGTTGCCGGCGTGCTCGTGTGCGGTGCGAAGGGGGGAAGCCCTGTCTGAGGTGCCGAAGCATGCACCTTGAGTGTACTGAAGAACAAGCCGTGCCTCTGGCACGGTCGGAAGCAGCCTCGCCCATCCTGGTATTACGTTCGAACAGACTAAGAAGTGAGCGAGCGAAATTAGCATGTCTGAGTTGTAGAAGAGATAACAAGAAGGTTAGTTTATTTCTTCTCTGAACTTCTCACTGTTCCTAAATCGTCGTTGGTGAGTGTGACGATCAGCGACCGTGCTCGCGATGCGTTTTGAGAAGCGAAGAGTGTGTACACGTAGCCCGAGGACCAAAATCGGTCAAACTTCGTTGCGAGAGCTGCAGGCAAGAAAATCGCAAATGCGAGGAGATGCGACCATGTCGACAATGCGTTGAACAGGGAAAAGAGTGTGTCAATGTTCAGAGGAGGAGTCGGGGTCACGGAACTCGGGTAAAGGCGGTAAGCAGGGACATTACGTTCGCGTTTTTCTAAAGAATCCTAAGAGGAGCTTAGGCCTGTACGAATTGCAGGTAAGGGCGTATCGTCTGAAGCGTCCTGTGCAAAGCTCTGAGTAATGCATGCAGACGCGACAAGGTCCGCTGTGAGGGTATTAGGTAGCAGTGCTCGTCTGTGTGTTCGTTGTGATAATCCGCTGACAACACTTTTCAAGACCCTGTACCACCTGTGTCAAGAAGGGATACCAATGCATTGATCGGGCTTGCGTGATATGTGTACAACAGGGCATCGACGGAGAGTGTCCACATCATCTCGTTACGGTGCGTACGTCAGAACGGAACGGTGGGTTGATCTCGCTAGGCTAAGCGGAGACGTTGCGTCTGACCGTTACATCAACAGCGTCCGAGTTGAACCACTCCTTCCCCTCTCATCATCATTCCCATCCGACACAATCACCGTCATCCCACACTTCACCAGCGAATGGTCCTCCGATGTTTCACATGTATGGAGCGGGCCAATGCCATGTGTCAAGCGTACCACATCTGCCAGGTTCCAGCATGCCCGATCAACACCATCAAGGTCAGGGACGGCACGACTCATCGTCATCATCTAGTACTGGAGGATTCTCGCGTGCGAACTACTTCCCGGTTATTGATCCCCAGATCGATATTCCACATCCTCAGGCAAACATCTCGTCTGAGCGTTACCACCCGTCGTCTGCGACGGCAGATCCCATGTAACAAACGTTGCCCTGGGAAATAAATTGGATAATAGTAGGTAGTTCTTGTGTGGTTCTGCATTTAATGACTATCGTCATCGCCCGGAGTAACTCTGTATTGCGAATGCTATTGTATGTTTCGCGTAAGTAACTAGTGTGGGACGCGTTGAGTTTGTCCATGTTTGGCGACGCGTTGAGCAGGTGACAATAGCGTATTCACAACCACCAGACAGGCGCGCCTGCTAACTAGTCGGGACTGCATTGTCCGAGGACAGGTATATTGTCTGATTTCGAATGTTAATACTGACTCCCATACATTCTTTACCATGAGCGATTCAGTTTCACCCGCAAAGCAGTATGTACATAGTTTTTTCAAGTGCGTGTGGAGTGCGACAGCTGACACATGTTGCGATTAACAGTCGTGACAAGACTGTGAAGGTCAAGTACTCAGCCAAGGGCAAGGTAAGTGCATCTGGACGCGTGTTGTTAGCCTTAGTTTAATTGTAACCGTTCGGACTCTACAGCGGAGGAGGAATGCAGCAAAAGATCATACCAAGTACGTTCGGCTGTTCAATACCCACTGGTGTTAATGATAGAGCTCGTGGATTAGAGCAGTCCCAGGAGAAGAGTCAGATGCGCCTAGTGAGGCATCACACGCGCCAGCGTCCTCCGAGGTGGTCTCAGAGGTATGTGAATCTTATCTGGCAGATAGACGCGCGTTTCCGCGTCACATTCGTTGATTTTAGTGGTGGCCAAGTGGGCTCACGTACTACTCAGGTACCAGAGGGAAGTCCTGGTTCCAAGGCGGCGGACATGAAGTGAGTAGATTCTCCTGAATTTTGGACGCCTCACACTCAGTAGAATTTGCGTGTCGGTGTAGTTTACCAGGTCCATCTCCCAAGCCGCGAAGACAAAACTCCGAAGAGAGTCGGAGCCCTTCTAAACCCCCCAGTACATCGACACACCACCGGACGTCATTGTCACCATCTGTTCGGCACCGACAGGAGAGCTCGGCTACTAAGCCACCTTCATTGAGGCAAGTCATGTGGGCTGGTTGTTCTTTTCGAATCTTGACTAATACCACTCCTTTTGGTCTTTTCAGAGGGCGGCCAACGAGTCCGTCAGATGATGCTGACGAGACAGAGTCCGTCGCTGAATCTTCGTCTGGGACTCGAATCTATAGAAGTGAACCAGAGCGGATCGAATATTTCAAGAAACAGCCCGAATGCGGTGAATTGGAACCACATCGCGCATTCTGCACGCGATGTGACAGCTGGATAAACCTCGGAAAGGGACGAACATATATCGTGCGGCCGTGGGAGAGACATCGAGCGAAATGTGATCCCAAGCCACCAACCGCGAAAGAGTTCGTTTATCAATGTATCAAATAGTCCTCTCGCCATTCTAACGTGAGCTTCCAGGACCAAGCCAACCTCAACAGAGGATGTGACTGAAGTAAAGGAAGACGAACCCGCGCCTATATCGCTTCACCTGAGTGTGGCAATGTCCCCAGGAAAAACTGAACCTTCGTTAACGCCGGAAGACAAGCCTCCCAGCAAAACCGAATCGTTGAGGCTGGCCATATTGCAAGCCGACTTTCGTGCACAGGAGATAAAGCCTCACGAAGTGTTCTGTCGAGCGTGCCAGAAATGGATTAAGTTGTCTCCTCACCAACCGTATGTCCTGACCAATTGGCAAAGTCACCAGCAACATTGCACGGGTTCTACGTACGTTCCTAGGTCACTCCGACCATCTGCGTCTAAGGAGACATTCAGTCCCCAAAGCAGAATAGCTACTACAGAGAGAAAGATTGCTTTGTTGAACGACCCACAGGTGAAGGCACTTACCACGAGGAGTATTTGTTGTGCATGCTGTAAGGACACGGTGATGCTGGGGGGAGAAGTGGACTATGACCACACGAAATGGAACGAGCATAAGAAGACATGTATCCCGTCAGTGTTTTTATTCTTCCCAAAAGAGGACATGGCTTAACGGGCTTTTACAGCGTGACCCCAGCTGTTCCGACGACGGCTTCCAAGGCTCTTTCATCGCGTCTATCATTCCCGCCTCCTACACCTGGCAACGTCACTACCCCGACGCCCATAAGCAGAACCTCATCACGAAGCCTGATATTTCCTCGAAGCTCCTTGACTGACGCGGTGCCAATCATCGACGGCCCGACAGCCCAGACTTGGAGACAAGCGTGCACGCGAAGAGGGGGGGACGGAAGTCGTCGAGGACAGCCGACCCTCGAATCGTCCAAGGACGGAAGGACTATAAACCACCAGAGAGGGAGCCCCCTGGCCCGTGGGGATGGTTCATGCAGCCGCTAAAGGCGTTTATCCGTGGCTTCCGGGAGGGCTTAGGAACTCCTACGTAACAGCCGGAAGCGTACATACATATAAGTACAATTGGAGTGATTAAGTACGCGGTCCATGACACTTGGTATCGTTGGGATAGTATCGATGCTGTACTTCTCTGGCTGCACGAGTGCACCTGTCCCCTACCCCACCCCACTCCCGGCTCTGAACACGCCCCAATACTAGTATTGTGCGACGCCGGCGTGCAGGGTCCGTCGGGAAATTCCGAGGGCTTTGGCCAGTCCCTTTCCTTCTCTTGGCTTTTCAATCCGTGGCTCTGCGCCGTACAATTATCCTGGCTTGCGAGACCTGCGGGGGGGAACACGAAACACGTAGATAGTCTTGAGTGTTGTATTTTTTGGCCATCGCGGAGTGCCCCACAAGTTCCCCCCTCATCCCCTCCTACATTCGGACCATATCGAAACGTCACCTTCCCTTCACACACTCCGAGTGAAACCCTCTCAACACCTCTGCCCGCTTCTTCATCAATCTATTCGTGCAGAAGCATTCTCATCAGCCCGTATAACTATGTATGTTGCTTTCGCAGGCAGTCGGCTCCCCACCCTGCTCATGACACGCCCAATGCAGGGGTTCGCCAAAGAAAGGCTCAGCCGTCAAGGGTCTCGCAGCAAGGTCAGTGGCTCACTTTGTCCTGTCGTCATATCCCCTCACCCAGACTCCAGTGGGGGGGATTCTCCCAGACCAACCAGGACCGCCGCGGAACTCGCAAGAGAGAAGAAGTTGCGAGATGACCCTATGGCGGAGGTTCACGGACCCCTCTTCGTAACTTGCAAGCGATGTGGCAACCGCATCAAGTTGTCACCCAAGAGTTCCTACGATCCATTCCATTGGACAAAACATCGCGAACGATGTCTCCGGAAACCTGTTGGTCAGACCCAGCGCCATACCCCAAAGGAAACAGTGAGCAGCCCCCACAACTCTTACCACATTCGTAGTAGACGATACGCTAACACGTCACCACCCGACTTGTGTCCTTGTCCAGACGCCCCCCGCCACCAAAAAGTCCTCGCCGTCATCTTCAAATACAGACGGTGACAATGTAACTCCACCTCCTCTGACGCCCCAAGATGAACGCGCAGCAAATACATCTGATGTCTTCAAGCTAAAATCTCCCTCTCCCCATGATGACATCAACATTCCAACACATTCTGCTGTACGTGAATTAGACTCTGCACTAGTGGAGTATCTTGACAGGTCTCAACATCCTTTACCGAAGACTTTCCCCGTCACAGAACGATGGCAGTCGTGGAACTGGTCGGAGTTGCGATATCCAAAATGGCTGACCGATACCAACCTCATGCCTGTTGGTGGTGAGCAGGACGATGTCGATGTCGAATTCGACGATACACCTTCCAACTCTCACCCAGAGCGTTCCCCGACTTCCACGCTATCCCTCCATCCGGGAAAGCCTGACCAAGACAATCCCTCACTACCCACGTGACCGCAATTCTTTTCACCTAGGGACGGCGTCCCACCCACCTGTTTTCGCTTTCATACACTACCACACTTCTAACAGCGCTATCTCGTCCTCTCGTCTATCTTTACATAAAAGCATCGGCTCGTAGTCATCTCACTCTAGTCTTGCATAAGAATAACCGTATCACGTTCCTGTATATACCAGGATGACGATTTTATATTCGCCCGGAGACGGGCTATAATCTATATACAGCCTAGGACTCTTGCGCTCCAACTAGCAGCTGTTCACTCTACAATGTAACGTTTTCGAGTTAGTACTACCTATCTGATGGCGGATCGTAAATGCCTTTGTTTAGAAGATCAACGGTGACTGGGTCAGCAGTAGCTCTGGTCCCCCTTTGAGTAAATGGGTCAAATCTGCGAAGTGCTCGTCCGTCGTAAGACACTTACAGGATAGTCCTGACAACGCCCCGCATTACATATGAAGCAGGGATCTCGATCTTCTCCACACCCGGCAGACCATCCCCACGCGTAGGGCCCACGTTCAGGAGTAAGACCGGTTTTCCCAGTTTGACCGCGTGCTGTACCAACCTGGCAATTCATGCAATACAAGGGAGTAAATGATGAAGCGACGATATTAAAATCGATTACCTGAAAGCAGAAAACGTTGCCAGCGTGGTTCCTACTACGAAAAGCCTATCCGACCTTTCAACATCGTGGAACCTGTGCGGAGTTGAGAAAATGTAGAAAGAAAAAAACCTATGTCGAAGACCTCACGATCGATTTCTGACGATCGTTGGGATTGATTCGCCAAAGAAAATGACTGTCGGTTTTTGCTGGGGGTGGTTCAATTGGGAACAACATGATTCTACCAAACAGACTCACGTTCGTATTGTGACGGCCCTCCAACACACACTGAGGACACTCTGGTACGACGAAATCGTCGTATGATACTCCCTCCAACTCGACCTACCATACAAACCACTGGTCACCAGAAGGTAAACAAACGTTAAGTCAAAGCGTACGTCTCCATCTGGATTGGTCCTGGGCTTCGTTCCAGTTGCTTCTAACCCTAGTAACGTAGTCTTTCCAATAAGGATTGTGGGCTGAGATCCAGTCTTGGAAGGTATTTCGGTCTACGACGTGGCCGTGGTTGCAATGGACCCGCTGTCTCGGTCAGTGTGTACGTGAGATCATTGCGAGGTCGTAACAACATACGTGTAGGCTTCCATGAAGCTCTAGCATTCGTTCATTTATAAGGTTGTCATGCCAAACATGGGCAATGGCCTTTCTGTGCAGACCGTCCACGTTCTGGGTGATTAAACGGGAAATGTGAGAAGTATGCTGTAGGGCTGCGAGTGCACAATGGGTGGTATTGGGCAATGCATCGCGGACCGGTGGATAGCCAAGGTATGAACGGAGCCTGACGCAGACTTAACTCGTGGGCAGCTTCTTCTCTACTGACCCGTGTCTTACCAATAACGTTGCCTACAGAGTAATTGGAAACCTGGTCAGGCATGGGGAGACACACAAGCAAGGGTTTGCATGCCTGAACATTTGGCCTTTAGGGCTCCTATCGACTAGTTCATGGTACTAGAATTCTTGTTAGAGGTGTTCCTAGAGAGTTCCAGGATGTATTCAACGAACAAAAATTGGCCTTTCCACCCGAATATTAGAAAATAAAACAACAGGACTAGTCAAGGGACGTACTGGTAGTTTGGGTTCATGTACCTGCCATCCTTACCGCGATAAGCTCTGATACCAGAGTCCACACTCACACCCGCGCCGGTCAGCAGTGTGACATTACCCGACGAAAGGAAGTCTGCAATCCGTTCTACTGCTACGGCCGGTGAAATCGGCTTGCTGGATGCTGTAGTAACGACATGCGGGATGGTAGGGGCTGAAACTCGCATTCAAATCCTTAAATGACGCCGATGAGCGCTGGTGCTGAGCCCGGCGAAAGGTAAGCGAGCGGAACGGAAGTGATACTTAGCCGGCCCGGTGCTAATCACACGAATCCACGCTTAGCACTTACGTATCTCAAGGTCATCAACCAGATCTTACAAAGTTACTACAAGGCGATGAACACATCACAAGCACCTAATGCCGTGGTACAGACGCCAGGATTTGCACACTACTCAATTGCTTGGTCACCATTTCACAATCACCGGTTGGCCGTAGCTTCGGCAGCAAATTTTGGGCTGGTGGGTAATGGAAGGCTTCACACAGTCTCACTCGTTCCAGGCCCAAGGGGAACCTATGGAGTGAAGGTTGATAAGTTGTAAGTGGTTCATAGGCATGGTTATCCACTTCGCTCACCACAACTGCCGACACGACGTAGTTTCGAGACCCAGGACGCCCTTTATGACGTTGCCTGGTCAGAGACCCACGAAAACCAGTTGGTAGGATGTTCAGGAGACGGTTCTATTAAGATGTGGGATATTACGCTGAATGTCAGTACCATAATCCATATAGAAGCCTTAATGCCAACTCGCAGAATGACAAGGTACCCTAGGATTTTCCCATCCGATCGTGGCACGAGCATACCCGGGAGGTATTCTCTGTGGATTGGTCCAACATTAGGAAGGACACGTTTCTATCGTCCTCGTGGGATGGTAGCGTGAAACTCGTGAGTAGGTGCAGAAGCTCTGAAGTGTACTCCGTTCGTTGATTCAGCATTCAAAGTGGACTCCTGACCGGCCTCGGTCGGTGACAACACTTCAGGCACACCTATCATGTGTATATCAAGCCCTCTTCTCTCCGCACCATTCCGGATTTGCTTGCAACTTGCTCCACCGATGGCACAATAAAGATATTTGACTTGCGGAACCCTGCCTACGCTTCTGGCCCATCCTCGAATGCTTTCACCAATCCTGTGTCCGCTGCAGTATTGACCATTCCAGCTTCAGTCACTGAGCTTCTCTCTTTGGATTGGAACAAATACCGACCGTTCCTCATTGCTAGTGGTGGAGTGGATAAGTTGATCAAGTCGTGGGATTGTCGAATGGTGGTCAACGCTCCGTCGTCAAGCGAGGCTGTTGGTGGATTGTGCGAACACCAGGTACCCGGACATGAATATGCTATTCGGAAAGTACAGTGGAGTCCTCATAGGGCAGATGTGCTGGCTACAGCGAGCTATGATATGACATGTAGAATGTGCGCTTGGTTACATCCTCATGACATTTCTGCCTCACGATTATCATTTTAGCTGGTCGATGAATCCACAGCCCGGGGGAGCGCATCTCTTGAATATTCATGACTCCCATACGGAGTTCGTGGCGGGATGCAGCTGGTCGTTATTTGACGAAGGCTTGGTAGCGAGCTGCGGGTGGGACGGTAGACTTTGTGTATTTTGCCCATGAATTTTGTCCCTAGGCTACCCTAGGGTGGTATAGCAAGCCAAGTTACCGTTCCGGCTGTTACGCCCGAGCCCTGAACAGGGGTTGTTGTCCGTTCCTGGATAAGGACATCAGCTCTCATCCTCGATCGAGCCATTGATGAATATCAGTTAGTATTGGTTTGACAAGGTCATCGGCACCGCATGCCGGCTTCGAAGACCCAAGATGACCCAGAGGATATCCTGTCTAGTTCCCTTCAGACCCTCTATGACTTAACTCCAATCACACACTCCACTCCTGGCTCAATATTCACATACACCGTTAAACCTGCCTTGCTTCCGGATCAGAATCCAGCGAGGGTCATAGAGTTGGAAACCCCTGACCCTCAACCTTCCAAATGGGACCTTCACGCATCATCCATCTGGGTCGCTGCCATCTACTTGGCAGACCACTTCGAGGATTTGGAGTTGCACCGATTTCGAGATCGGGGGGTTATTCGCGTTCTCGAGCTTGGTGCCGGTGCAGGCCTCCCGTCTATCCTCATCGCGAGTGTATATCAAAATGTTCGTGTTACAGTCAGCGATTATCCTGACGAGCACTTGATTCGGACGTTGTCCGAGAATATTTTACGGAACAACGTTTCGGGTATCGCTCGTGCTGTCCCATATGATTGGGGTACGGACATTTCTGCCCTCGTCTACGCCCATGAATGTCAGGAGACCCCCGGGAACGATGAAATTCTGTTTGACGTGATTGTCGCTGCAGACACGCTGTGGAATCCCACGCTCCACAAGCAATTCATCCAGAGTCTAGTCATGTCCCTGAAGCGCTCTCCGGATTCGCGTGTCTACCTAGTAGCAGGATTGCACACGGGAAGGTACACGATCCAAGCGTTTCTGAAGTCGATAGGGATAGACGGATGTGGCTTAGCAGTCGAGAGTCTGTCGGAGAGGCAAGTTACAGCAGCGCAAACTTTCAGGTCATGGGATGTAGCAAGAGCAGAAGATGAGGATGAACGGGAGAGGCGTCGGTGGGTCGTATGGGTAGTGCTGAAATGGGGAGAGCATAGCACTACGTAAAGAAACATGGCTATCGTGAAAGGTCCGTTGTGTACGTATCGGATACAGGGCGTACAGTGAGTTGTAAGTATTCTGTTAATCGTATCTGAAACTGGGGAGATGTACAACACGGATACAAGATAAATGAATGAGTAGTGTGACGCGTTTAAGGTTCTGTTCTTAATTCCTGGCCAAAAGTCAATATACGGACACCCGTCCGCCCTTCACGTTCCTTATGGAACAACATGTCAGTGACCCGAGTTCAGCGACCAACCACCTAGACGTACGTGATATAAGATCAAGCTGTCCTCAGTAACGTCCATCCACGTGAGGTCATGAGTATTTGAGGTACTCGTCCTAACGTACTTGGAACCTCGGTGATCGAAGACGGTACTAACACTCGCCTGCCACCTCCAGGGCGGACTTTGGCGGGCGAGTGACCATAAATAAGGTGCAGCGGAGGGATTTAAATCCAAACTGTGAACGCGGCTAGAAGGATCCTGAGGGGAGCCGGCAGAATTTTGGACGTTTTCGAAGAATATGAGACGCCTGCCGCAGAGCTGGACGCCGTCCGCTTGGTTTGGCAGGTTAAGAATCATACAATGTTCCTGCCAATCCGCCCAACGTACGACTTCGTCTCCGTCGTCAGCCGGCATAAGTTTCGACTCATCGATCACTACAACCACCTTGCGGGAAAGTCCCCTGGGCTTCGCATTGTAAGGAAAGTCAAACGTTACCGCAATCAGCCGTAAGCGAGGATCGTGGTCAAACAGAATTCCTGGCGCTGGTGGGGTTATCATCTTTGCAGATGAGTTGGGACATTGTTGTACGAAAGAAACTGTGTTCCAACTTTCTGGAAATTCATACGACCTTGCACGGGGAAGAGGTCCTTGCCCAGGCTCGTGGCATATCTCGTAAACACCTATCTGGGGGGAACGTGTTCCTTTATCATAGGCGTAGAGACCGTCGGGACGTCGTTCGTAAGAACCGCTAGAAGAGCCGCTGCTGCGTTCTTCGTCGTCGTCCGGTTGACAGACGACAATCACACGTGTGTCGCTCACGAGATCAAATGTGAGTTTGTCACCTGTAAACTTCCGAAAGAAAAAAGTCAGAATGAAAGAAGGTAACAGTGGCATGTAAGAACAATCCGATCACTCACAGTACGGAGGGCAGCACCGGTTCTCCAGTTGAGAAGTGCTAGCTCCGTGATACCTTCCCCATCCTCCAACTCTAGACGGATAGATAACGCGACTAAGCTGCCACACACCTGCACCTGTTGGATAGACACGCGCTCCCCTGGAGGAGTGATGCCCCACCACTCGGTGCGGTACTGTAGTCGGGGTTGTGCAGCCTCTCGATGGTCGTAATCTCCACGGGTGTCACGGAAATGCAGGACACCGAGGACTGGAGAATTCCTGAACCATATTGGAAAGTTAGTCAATTGGATGGGATGGTCACACTCACTGCTGCGGCGGAAAATAAATCTGCGCCCAGATCATTAAGCTTTGAGAGGGATCGATGACCACCTTCCTTACATCGAAGGTTAGGAGATACTGTTTAAAATACAACCCGCGTTGAGGTGTTCTCCGGAAACATCGCAACTCGTAAATACGCAGAGCCCACACGAAACCGTTGGGTTCGGAGAATTGAACCGCTTGATACAAGTAATTTCCGGAGACACCCATGATCGTGGGTGGAGGGAATGTAAGTCTGTCCTCCGCAGACCAGGTAAATGTGGACCAAGCCCGCTTATAGCTAAGCAAAGTGGCAAGCTGATCCTTCGGCGAGCATTGGTTAAGTAAACCTTCCCTGAGACCACAAAGTGCAAGCTCGTAGCGATAGCGGAGGGATGTCGTGCCCCCGACTAAGGTAAGTATCGTTTGCGAAGCCTGAGTGAAGATAAGACACATGCTTCATCATTGAACGTTGAAAATTCGCTCACCTTACAGAACCGGAATAAGGAGACCGGGTCCAGCTCGTCTAAGATAAGTAACAGCAGTTCTGTAGAGAGTGTGAAAAGGGACATGACCGGCACGTCAACGGGACAGAAATTCGAGCTTGGGTGTATCGAAAACTTTTCGTGACATTTTATACAGCGAACCTCAGTGATGGGGGAGAAGACAAAAAACCTTAGGCACACTCGCCTCCACCGTCGGTAAGGGCTAAGCGGAAAGCCTTTGGGAATAAATGAGAATACCCACGACATCCAGGTCTACAACGTCAGTAAGTGTGCGAAGGACGTCGTCGGATGAAGTTAGCCGTGGCGTTGGGATGTCCCTACCTTGGAGGGAAGGCAAAAATTCATAAAAGAACGGGGCCGACAAAGGCTTTTGTGACACTTGACATGTCAACAACCTAAGGGGCTGTCCCGCGTTGCCCGTGCTGATATTTCTTCTGCTCACACAGGGGTGGCGACAATAGCGGTTGTCCGTATTGGGAAAGGCGCCGTATCGGGCGCTACGTGGACAGTCGCAACGGCGGCCCACGGTTTACCATAAGTGGCGTGTGTCATACGACGAAGACAACAAAGACTCAACGGAAGGTGTGCCGCCGTACGTCATTTACGGTGTAGAAAGTGTGCGTGGACACAGAAGCAGCAGGGGTGGTTCGCGATTCTTGGAAGGAGCCTGAACGAAGAATCTGCTGACTAAGACTCCACATAGCGCCCTTGCTGTGAACCGGTATCGCTGTAGCAAACGTCCATGGTCTGCAAGAAGTGCGAGTCAGTGAGTGGACAACCAAGCAACGGCACGACCAGAAGCTTTACTTACTATCTTTTCCAGAAACTGTCTAAGGTTGCAGCACCCGACCCATTCACTTCAACCTCAAGTAGCGTTAAAGAGGGGAGCCGGAAGATTGGTGAAAACAAGCTTTTGACCCGGCCAGGAAGCTCTAAGAACAGGTTCCAGGTGTGTACTTGAGAGTTCTCGTTTCTGTGTCAAGCCAACGTGTTCCCGCTTAGCCGTATCAAGGGAAATGCAAAGACTGTAAGCAGACAGTGACACAGAATAAGGCGAAATACTGTCATGGTGAGGTGACATCTTTTTATTGTTATCGACCTTCTGACCACTTTCCGCTAGGCTGTGCTTATAAAAAGGGTGTTTGCTCGATCTGCGGGAAAGCTATCCTTGACACGTCTGGATACGTCATGTCTTGCAAGTAATAGTGCCTTGCAAAGTTACCAGTCCCCCGTTACCATACCCTCTTCTGCATCACTGTACTAATATCGATTAGAGTGTATTCTATTCTACATAGATATGTATATGATCGTCTGTATCAGGCCATACCACCAAGAAAAAGATTCGTGGTAAAAGTAACCAAATAGTCGGCGGATTTGCTTGTCTGCACTTGTGCGCATGCAGTCATCGGGTATCTGGTGTTCGTGACAACAAGCTTGGTGAAATCTCGCATGTCGGAATGCTCGGATGGATGTACGTTGCTTATCGGCGCACGATGTTGGTCAACAACACCGCGCATTGGTATCCAACTGCCGAGTCCTTAGTACTGTGCACTCGGCATTCTGCAAGGGGTTATCGGATCACTAAATATTCAGGGGCTGTCTTTGTCATCATTGCCGCGTGGCACGTGACTTGTACTAGTCTTTTATGAGCATACGCGTGTTCGAGTCAACGCGGTAAAAACTGTCCTCAACCATGTCCACATCCAAGGCCAGCAAGAGCGGCAAGGGACAGAAGAGGCTCACTTCGTTCTTCGGCGGAGGATCAAAGACCGATCGTGAGACGAAGAAGAAAGTTGGGAAGGGAATGTCGACGGAGGATGACTCGGAGAACGATGTTTACGACGACGAGCCTGAAGTATCCGAAGAGGACGATACACCCATGCAGTCGTCGAAAACAGATGGAAAGATAGAGTCTTCTAGTTTGCCCCCACTGCACGACATCCCTGCAATGTTTGCTGATCTCGTTTCGCGTGTACCGCTGTTGAAAGGCGTTGCCGAGCATGTCCAAGGACGGAAACTACGTGTCGCCACGATGTGTTCCGGCACTGAATCGCCCCTCCTTGCTCTAGAAATGATCTGCCAATCCATTAAAGACCAGCATGGGATTGCCTTGGAGTTCGAGCATGTCTTTTCATGCGAGATCGAGCCATTCAAGCAGGCATACATCGAGCGTAATTTCAAACCACCGTTGCTCTTCCGGGACGTTTGTGAACTCGGTGACTACGAAGCGTACGCGTTCACCGATGCTGACTGCGTGATGATACTGACCCCGTCCTTAGAACAACCGCTTACGGAGCACTTGCGCCTGTCCCTGGAGACGTGGACTTACTCGTTGCCGGCACGTCCTGTGTCGACTATTCCAACCTGAATAACGAGAGGAAGGGGATAGATGGCGGAGGTGAATCAGGTCGAACTTTTCATGGCATGATGTCCTGGGTCTCAAATCATCGACCGCCCCTGGTTATCTTGGAGAACGTCTGTTCTGCACCTTGGGATCGCGTCAAGGATTACTTCAAACGACAAGGTTACAGCGCGGACTTCCTCAGAGTTGACACGAAACTGTACTATATCCCTCATACCCGTACACGTGTCTATCTGCTTGCCGTTGACAGCCGGGGATCTAACATTCCCATGGAGTGGAAAAATTGGATTGGGACGAAGCTCAAACGGCCAGCTTCATCGACATTGGATGCATTTCTGCTTCCATCGGATGATCCACGCATTCATCAAGCGCGACAAAAACTGGTGCAAGATAGTGGTAGTGTCTCGGAGTCACGAGCAGGACGCATTGACTGGACAAGGTGTGAGTCGCGTCATGCACGCGCAAGATTGGAGGAGGCGTTGGGTCCGAAGCGTCCGCTTACGAACTGGGAAGAAGGTAAGCTAGGATGAATGAGTCGGTTATGAAGGGATCTAAGTCTGATCGTACAGGCGGTGCTTGTCGGATGCCTGATTTCGCTTGGCAAGATTGGGGGATACGACAGGTAGAGCGTGTTTGGGATTTGATGGATATCAGCCTCTTGCGCTCTGCTAAAATTGCTGTTGACCCATCCTACAAGACGTATGTATCTCGTTCGGATATTTACATTGGTTGATTGACTGACAATATTATAGGCTCGTCTGGAATCTTTCACAGAATGTCGATCGCTCCACTGGCTCCAGCAAGCCGGGCATATGTCCGTGCCTCACGCCATCAATGATTCCGTACATTACCAACCGCGGTGGCCCGATGGTAGGGGTGGAAGCGTTGGCTATGCAAGGCTTGCCGGTCGATAAGCTCCTCCTGACCCGAGAAAGCCAGGACGAGCTGGCTGACTTGGCCGGAAACGCGATGTCTTCTACTGTCGTGGGTGCTTGCATAATTGCGGCTTTAGTTGTTGGAAGGAAGCTTTTGAAAACTGGCGACGACAAAGAAACATACGAGATGAAAAAGTTGGATACAGTAGAGGCGACGAAAGAAGAGAGCGCTATGGACGTCGATTCTTCGCAAACATCCGGTCTCCGCATAGAGGACCATATTTCGGGTCATGATCAGTTGGTAGAAAAGCCACTGGATTTATCGGCGACACGAACGAACGCTGTTGAAAGTCCTGCTCAATCATGCACAACGCAGCGTTCGTCTTTGTCATTGCGAAGGCCGAAAAGAAATCACTACGAGGGAGCTTCTTCGTTGTAGAGACTGTGGTTCTTCGTCTTGTAAGAAGTGCGCTGGTCGTCCCGAACACAGCTTCGAGCCTTTGGATGTGCAGACTGTTGCACGCCTCCCTCCGCCCACCTTTGTGCGGGAACTCAAGTCCATCCTTCCTATGTGTCTGTCAATTACAAGCGTCACCGAGCAGCTTCTCGATCAACTGAGGGACTCAGCACGCGTTTCCATTCCAGAAAAGCGCTGGACTGGCTGGCGCGCTGCTGTCCTCAGGGCTACGGGATCAGAGCTGCGGTTCGTGGAACCAAAGAGACAGGAAATTTGGTCTGCTGTATACCAGTCACCCACGGCTACCCTTGAGTTGTATCTTGACCCGAAGCAGACCGAGTGGCGCCTGTACGCCAAGCCTCTGGATAGCGAACCTGCAAACGCGGAAATTCGTCGACTCTTACAGCTCCCCGTCGCTAGATTCAAGTGCAGTGGCGATTTTCTCCAGGGCCGCTGGCAGTTCGCCATGCCCCATGTCACTGAACTGCGCATCACCGTTACTGGTAGTGGGCAGCTTGTGCCCTCCTGGGAAGCTCGCCTCGGTTTGCTAGAAGACAAGTTTAAGAACAAGCGTGTTCACTCGCATTTGAACATCTCTGTCCCAGAGCATCAGAAATCTCTATTCGACCGGGACGTTTCAGGAACTTACGCACTTCTCGACAAGTGTGGTACTGCCTGTGGCGCCCTTCACAGGAGAGTAGAGAGCGCAGACTGCGAATCGTTACCACCCTTATTCATGATGCTTGATCCGACTCGATGCGGGGACGCCAAAGATGACTCTTTCGTCTTCACGAGCACCATGCGGAGGTACGAGTATGGTGAATTCCGGCCGATCATTTGCAAACTGGCGCCGTCTTGGCGTCAGTCGGACGCTGAAGGAGACCAATCTGTTGTATGTCACATCCCCGTCCTTTGGACTGATTCGAATACAGTGGTGCTTGAGGTACGTCCTTTCCCAGAAAATAAGTGGTAGTCGTAGCGGTGGTACTGAATTATAATTTAAGCCTCGCCTTCTTTCACATGCAACTTTCGCTGTTCCTCAGTGCTCGCTGAGCGTCGAGGTTTCGACCGACGCTTGTGCACAAGCTATGGCCCTTCTTTCATGCAACGTCCCTATTCCTGATGACGCTGGTCCCTGAATGGCCTCGAGAAGAATGGAGGGAGGTGGACAAGCTCAATGAACGAGCGACCTTCAGGGCTCTGGCGTGGCTTCTTGAGCGGATTCGACATGTTGATGACAACTTGAAACAATGGCAGCTTCTGACGATGCCTGGGGAACTTCGTCACTGCCAACGTTGTGCTCCCGTGTCACCTACTATCAAGTGGAAGAAGGACGGCAAGAAGGTCATAGCCATCGAAGATTCGCAGGAGGCCGGTCAATATGAGCGGGATCTCAAACTCCGGCCTAGTCCTTTCGTCACACAGCTGAAATTAGACAAGAATATTGGCCGTGTAAGAGTTGGGCTTAACATTGCTTCGTTACTGCACCGCGCACTCTCACGCCTACCTGCCGGGAACCGCACTGAAAGCCCAAGCTTGTCCTGGCGTCTAGATACCGATTTTGCCCCGGCGGTGAAGATAAGTCTTCCACCCTACCGACTGTTGAGCAACAAGAACGACGTTGAACATGCTCAACCACCCCATTTTGGACCTCTCCCCCTTCGACCAGAGCAACTGCGCTCTCTTACCTGGATGCTTGAGCGTGAAGCCATGGATGCTCCGCCGTTCGTGGAGGAGGAAATTTCAGAGGCTACTCTCGAGGCCCCTTGGATGGCGTGCGGAGGGTCGTGCTCAACGACCTGTCAGGATGCGGGGGGGTGTCCTTGCTGACCAAGTCGGTTACGGAAAGACGGCCATCACACTCGGACTGATCGACTGCGCGTATAATGACGTGAAGGAGGAGCTCGAACACAAGAAGGACATCTACGGAAAGGTGCCTGTGAAGGCGACGCTTGCCATTGTTCCACCCCATCTCACGCGTCAGTGGGCTTCTGAAGCGAAGCGATTTGCCCCGAAACGGTTCAAAAAGACGGTCGTCGTGTCAACTGCGTCCCAGATCAACTCCTTGACCATCGAAGACGTTCAGCAAGCGGATCTGGTTATTGTCGCTTCCAACCTTTTCCAAAGCAATGTCTATCTTGCTAATTTGGAGGCACTTGCTGCTGCCGGTACCCTCCCACCCCAAGACGGTCGTTATTTCAATGCCAGGTTAGACATTTGCCTGGAGGGGTTGAAAGAGCAAGTGGAGTTGCTCAAGACCGGAAGTCCTGCCAATGTCATGAGAGCAGTTCGGGATGCCCGACGAAAAGGTATGTTTGCACGAACTATACTTGTCCGAACCACCCCATAACATATTCTCAGAGGAAGAGCTCGAAGCTCAAGTTTTTGTTGCGCAGAAACGCCTCAAAGGGAAGCAATACAAAGAAGCTGCTGAGAAAAAAGAGAAGGCGAAGTTGAAAGAATCGAAATCACTTGACTATTTTCCAGCTAAACTTACCCCATCTGGCCAAAAACCCTCAGTCGTCATTAACAAACTCCCTCCGAAGACGAAGCGTCGGATAGTTGATTCAGAAGATGAGGACGACGAGGACAACACGACTCGCCCAAAACGTAAATCCACTGCAAAAGTTATCGTGATCGACTCCGACTCCGATGCAGCCGGTGAAGGCGGGAGTGACTATGAGGATACCAACGACGCGGATGATCATGATGATGACGAACAAGCATCCGACGACTGACTCGGACGCTACCTAAAGAATCGAAGCCGTCGCGTTCAATTGCCAAACCGACGCCGCCTCCCTCGTCAAGGAGCGTCACGGGCGACGAAGAAACTGCGGACAACTCGTCAGAGGACGAGAAACCCAAGAAGAAAGCGGTGGCAAAGGGCAAGAGTGTCAAGAGGGAATCGAATTCTAGCGCGGATGATAGCATGGACGTAGACGACGCGCCGTCGGCAGCTTCTGCGTCATCGCGTAAGAAGCGAAAGGCAACAGATAGCTCAGATAAGCCTACCAAGAAACAAAAGCGTCGCGAGGACACGGATCCGTGGCACCTTGAGTCTGTCGCGGTGAGGAGGAACTGGGCAGAGATGCGCTCCCCACCATTGGAAGTGTTCCACTTCGCCCGTGTAGTCGTCGATGAGTATACCTACCTCGGAGGGAAGGTACACTCTATGGTCACAAAGCTGACAGCAGACCGGCGTTGGGTCTTGTCCGGTACTCCACCCATTCACTGATTTTGGTTCCGTGAAAACTATTGCTGCTCACCTCAACATTCACCTTGGTATCGACGATGACAGTGAGGGACAATCGGCGATGATTAAGAAGCGCATCAGGGAACAGACCAGTAAGCCTTACAACGATACGAAACATTCTTGATTTCAAAAGTCTTGCAGAGGTGGAAGCTTTCCATTCGTTCCGCGAGGTTCATACTCAAGAATGGCACGCCCACCGACATCGCCTCGGTCCAGGTCTTTTTGGACATGTTTGTCCGGCAGGTGAGTAGTGAGCATCTACCTCTCAACTTGTTACTGAATTGCCGGATTACTATTCCAGAACATTGCCGAGATCGACGAGATTCCGTGCAGCTTCAAAGTCCAGAAGGTGATACTTCCAGCTGCTGAACGTGCGATTTACTTGGAACTGGAGCACCATCTTCGTGCACTTGACATGACGATCAAGCGGGCGAAGAAAACTGAAAGCGACAGAGAGAAGCGCTTGAACAATGCACTTGGCGAGAGCAAGTGCGTATAAACGTTGTTCACCCCTGATATTTACTCATAATTCTCAGGACTGCTGAAGAAGCACTCTTGAAACGCTGCTCACACTTCGATCTTGACGTTAAAGACAAGGAAAATGCTATGAAAGCATGTGAAATCATCGTCCAAGACCGTACGGAGCAACTCGAAGAATGTAAAACGGAATTGTTGAAAGAGCTTCAAAAGGGCGTCAAGCAGGAAAAGAAGATTGGCAAGCTTGCTGAGGAGTCTATGTTCCAAGAATACGCCCGTGTTTCGCGCCTGGAAGGTGTCGGTGACCAAGAAGCTACGGACATGATACGAGGTCTACTGGACGAAGCAGAGGTGCCTACTCTCTCTCCCAACCATTTCACGAACAAGGGCAAGGGCAAAGACGACAACATTTCCAACTCTGTCAAGGACCTCATCTGGGAGCACCGTGAACACACGCATAATATTCGTAAACTGACGAAGGAACTGGTCGGTCGTGTGCGTTCACTCCGCTACTTCACTGTCGTCCGTGATTTGCAGAAGCAACGTGATACGCCCCCAAAAGTTTCGTGCCCCGGCTGTAAGAGAAACGAAGTACCCATGGACGAAGTTGCTGTGCTCTCTTCCTGTGGGCACATGGGCTGTATGACCTGCGTCAGACGGAGTGCGGACCGAGAGGAGTGTGTATATGCCGTATCCGGGCTGTGCAAGGCTGCTGCCAGAGTGCTTAACATCGTCAAAGGCGAAACACTTGGCGTGGATGACGAGGCCCGTGATGGTAATGGCAGACATTATGGCAGAAAACTCGAGATGGTCATTGACTTGATAAAGTACGCTTTCAGCATTTGGACGTTTCTGCTTATTGAACTCCTTTCTAGGAACCAAATCCCTAAGGCAGAACGTGTTCTCATTTTCGTTCAATTCCCTGATCTTATGGCGAAAGTCGCCAACGCGCTGAAAGTCCACAAAATTAAATTCCTCGAGATCCACGGTTCGGCGACTCAGAAGAGCAAAAACCTAGAGAAATATCAGAACGACAGCGAAGAGAGGGTGCTCTTGCTGAACCTTATGGACGAGAGTGCTAGCGGCGCGAACTTAACCTCAGCCAATCATGCCATCTTCTTGTCACCGCTTCTTGCTCCGACTCAAGAAATTTATGATGCTTGCGAGACACAGGCGGTAGGAAGATTACGGAGGTACGGACAACTTCAGCACGTCAACATTTGGAGATTCTTGACTTTGGATACCATTGATGTGGAGATTCACGAACAGAGGACCAAGGAGAAGATCTGTTGATTGCTACATACCCTATATTTTTGCATTTGCTCTGCACCATCTGGACTATACTTTACACACAGATTAGATGGCACCCATTGATCGCGCTCCGCACACATAATAGCACGAATACCTCGAACCAGTCTCCTCTATTAGATTGTATTTTTTTACGCAATCGGCTAGAACAGAAACGCATGACGCTACCTTCACTGACATGGTTACTTACCCATCTGAGCAAGCTATCACTCCCAATACCTCGGTACCTTGTTATCGCCTTCCCCACCTACTTCTAGGAAATCGGAGGGCCTGTCTCGTTTCAGATTTCGGCGACGATTATTAAGAGGTAGCCGCTGGTACGCTGAATCCTGTCCAGCAGGTTGCTGACTAGTGAATGGGTTCGTTGACCACGGTGCATCGTTCCCCTGATACCCTGTCATACCAAATCCCATCAGATTGGCATTGTTCTGCATCTGTTGCTGTTGCTGTTGTTGTTGCTGTTGTAGCGTAGTAGCCACAGCGAGTGTAGCAGCGAGCGCCTGCGCTTGCTGGAGCTCCATTTGCAGTTGATGGTACTTCATTTCGGTAGTTTGGCGAACCTGATTCGGCAACGAAGGATTGTGCATCATGACGGACAGTTGAGATATCTGAGCCTGCAGCTGGGGGATGCTATCAACGATCATCTGGGACACATCTGAATGTGGGTCTGAATAGAAGTCGTCCGTCACTGAACTGTCTGCTAGCTGTGTGATTACTTGGCTTAGAAAAAAGACTTCCAATCGAAAACCAAGAACTTACCTGGTCGGTACCCTCTGTTGAGATGCCCTGACTGGAAGTCATACCTTCTTCACCATCCTTCTTACTCTCCTCAATGACTTTATCAATGTGCTCTGCGACCTTTGTTCTCATCGATCTATCCACCACTAATTTGTCAAGGGAGGGTATCTTCTTCCCACAATTGGGACAGACGAAGTCGCGCTCAAGCAGATGTGTCTGGATACATTCCTCGCAGTAGGAGGTATCACAACAGGGTGTTTTCACGGCATCACGGAACAGTCTGTTGTCTATTGGACATGCGAGAGTAGGATCCGTTGGCGCACGTTCTCGGACGTCTGCTACGGTAAGTCCCTTCATGCGAGATACTTGCTTTTGCCATGAAGCGCTATGGACGTTGTCATGATCAGCAAAAACCTTGCTACAGCGCAAGGAAATATGTACGTACGAGTCGGGCTGGGCTACAACATAGCCACCTTCGGGTGTAACCATTACTCCTTGAGCGAGTTCACCTTTGCTAGGATTCTCAACAGCCTTAAGGAAACTTCGTGGGATACCCGTGGTCCGCTTGATTCGGGGCTTATTATCAAATTCACGGTCATTATTCGTAGGACAGTCTTGAATCCAATGGCCTGGCGAGAGCATGAAGCCACCGTTGATATACTGTTACCTAAGTATCGTACCTTTCTGGCCACAACGATAGCATACATAACTCGGGGGAAGAGGGCGATCGTGAGTATGATGTTGGAACGGCTTCCCTCCACGGCCGGAAGATGGTTTATCACGATATATTCGTGTTGCGCTGTTCGTCAAAGGAAACACAGCAAGTTGAATTTATCAGATATCACTCCAGTACATGAGGCCGAGGGATTGCATGGACACGACACCCACTGTGACATTTTTTCCTGCGTTTCCTCCCAATTGGCGGTCTGGGCCTGAAACATGGCAGCCATAGCAGCGGCCTCGTCCTCCTTCGTTACGGAGTTCTTCGGTATGGTGGTAATCTCCACGAAGTGTAAGCCTGGACAAAAGATAGCCGGACATGGCTGCGTAAATACTGACCGGAGTGGATGCTTTTGAAGGTGCGGGTTGCTGTTCTTCTTTTATATCGAAGCGTTTTGACATAGCACCCCTGTGCCAAACACCACCTGATGTCTGGACAACATCAGAGGTTGGAATTACAGTAGTTCCGGTTGTTCCAGCAAGGTACATGGCCGCCTTGCCCTTCCCGGTGCGTTGAGCAGGCAAGCGCTTCACAATGAACAGAAGAAGAGCGGGGGATAATTTGAGTGTCATCTCTGTATTCTATAAGGATTCCAATTAGTCTGTCGAGGGAGGTTCCAGGTGAAGACAAGATAAACGAACCTTGCTGGGTGGACGCATCGTAGACATAGAGGTCGAAGTCGTTTGCCTTACCAAGGTTATTGGCGAGAATAATCTCTTTCTTAATATCAAACACAGAGATTCCAGTACCATCAAATGTTATACGGGACTCGTCCTTTTGGGACTTGAATCTGTAAAACACACAAGAAGCCATGAGCCGGTTTTTTGTCGTGTGGTTCAACTAATTAGTAGTTGATTTGGACTCGCCGGGCTTGACGGGAAGAAGTTGGGCTGACTAAGCGGATATAGAAAACATATTTCGTCGCGTCGTGCCACTTTCTAAACCGCGTCTACCAACCAGAACCCATGGCAGGCAACGGCGGCGAGTTGCGACAAAGAAATACTGCGGATAAGGGCAACGCAAAGGCTGTTACGACCACCGACGAGGGTCGCAAATCTGACAAGCTTCTAGATGAGCATCAAGGGTGAAACTTTTCACAGTGTATGCCTGGCCACATGGGACTGACCGTAGACTTCCCCGGGCAGGTACGAGTTTGGAGGCCCTTTGGGTGTCACTGCTATGATGATTGGGTTCCCAATCCTCATGTACTATCTCTGGATCTGTCTGTGGTTCTATGACGGGAAGCTTGTCACCCCAAGTTCTGTGGATGATATCGTTCCCTTTTTGCAGAGAATGTGGACTCATGTCTGCGAGGTACGTGTTTGTGTGATTTAGTTGATTATTGAGTTAATGTGTGTATCTCCAGGATGCCTATCCGAACGCATATGCGTGGAAAGTCTATACGGGACTAATCATATACCAACTCTTCCTTGCTTGGGTCTTGCCAGGTTACCAACAAGAAGGTCTCCCTGTCCCTTCGCTCGGTTACAAAACCCTCATGTACAACTGCAATGCTCTCTGGTCGGTTTACGCCACAATGCTCACCGCGGCAGCCCTTCACTACTACCATATTTTCCGTCTTACCGAAATTATTAATAACTACGGACACTTGATGTCCGTCGCTATGATCTACGGTTTCGCCGTTTCCTTCGGTGTATACTTCATCACCGTCGCCACTGGAAACCAAATGCGCATGTCGGGCAACTTTATCTACGACGTCTTCATGGGTGCATGTCTTAATCCTCGTATCGGTCCCGTTGATTTGAAGATGTGGGCGGAAGTGCGCATCCCGTGGGTCATTGTCTTTTTCCTGGCTGTTTCTGGTGGCTGCCACCAATATGAACAGTATGGCTATGTTACCCCTGTAAGTTTACATTTGCTTTTCTTACGAGAAGTGTATGTGCCTACTCTCCTGTAGAACATGGCTTTCATGATCCTCGCTACTTGGTTGTACCTCAATGCTTGGTACGTATGGTTGCGTTAGATCAACATTTTCCCCCCTGACGACGTTTTTTCTGCAGCGGTAAGGGTGAGGAATGTATTCCGCAGACATGGGACATGTACCACGAAAAGTCAGTCGATCACCTGGTTACTGGCCTCTAGCTCACGCCTTTTTAGATGGGGCTTCATGGTTATTTTCTGGAATTTTGCTGGTGTCCCATTCGTAAGTTGACATTGTTCTTGGTTTAATAGTCGTGACTTATGATGGGACAGACATACGTGTACTCTGTCGTTTACATGGCCTCTCACCATCCAGACAAGTACCACTTCTCTACCCCCACTTATGTTCTCCTGTTCACGGTTCTTCTAACCGCGTATTACATGTGAGTGCGGTGTTTAAACTTGCTACTACTGACTAACGCTACGTAGCTGGGACACCTCGATGTCGCAAAAGAGTCGTTTCAAAATGCAAACCCAAGGGATCACTACCTTCCGCAAAACTTTCCCCCAATTGCCCGGAGGAACACTCAAAAACCCCAAGTACATTCAGACTGCTCATGGGTGGGTGTGATGGACTCGCCGTGCATATGTTGACTGACTTACCCAACTAGCAACCGCCTCCTCATCAGTGGTTGGTGGCAATATTCCCGTAAGCCCGTGAGTTTGCTTCATGCTATTGAGATGGCTTCGCGCTCACGCTGGTTTCACTCTTAGAATTATGTCGCCGACTGGGTGATGTCGTTCTGCTGGGGAGTCATTATCGGAAAGGCGACTGCTATCCCGTATTTCTACTCCATCTTCTTCATTACGGTCCTTATCCACCGTTGTGGCCGCGACTTTGAGCGCTGCTCGGTCAAATACGGGAAGGATTGGGAACGTTACTGCGAAGTCGTCAAGTACAAGTTCATTCCTGGAATTTACTGACACCGAGGTGATGCTTTGAAAAAGAACGCTCTCGTAGTCTCGCAATTGTATTTAGAGTATACCCGCTTGCTATTTAATGCCACTATTTCGAACAACCGCCTGAATTTGTTCCGCCGGTGTCTCAGCATAAGTGAAGTGTGCAGACACAGCCAAGACCAGAATTCTCACACGCGATAGCTTTCTTCATCACATCTCTACGGAGCCGACTCTAAGCCAGCACTTTCCTGGTCGGTGCCATCCCAAGGTAATCCTTAGGCTTCTAGGTCCTCTCAAACTGCGCCGGACTCGTCCTCTCTATGGAAAGCAACAAGGATGAGGCACTGAAATGTCTCGCCATTGCTCAGAAGCACAAAGACACGGGGAACTTCTCTGCAGCGCGCAAGTTTGCGCGGAAGTCGATTAGTTTGTTCGTCACACCCGAGGCAGAAAAGTTGCTCGAATCGATAGAGGCCGCCGCAGCCGGGGCAGGATCCTCGAGTGGGGATGCGACGACCACGAATGCAAATGGCAACAGCACACAGGCGTCGTCATCGGCCACGCAAACCCATCCCTCGGCGGCTGGTTTTAAACAACGGACTGCAGATGCTACTGGGGCTGCGGGAAAAGAGAAGAGAGAATATACTGTGGAGCAACTGAAGGTGGTGAAGCGGGTCAAGACATGCAAGATTACCGACTACTACGAAATTCTGGAAGTGAAACGAGATTGCGGGGAGACCGAAATTAAAAAGGCGTATCGAAAGGTATGCTGTGGCCTTGAGCGATGCTAGAAAGGCAGTATGTTTATGAAGGTCCAGCTTGCCCTTGCTCTCCATCCCGACAAGAATGGTGCACCGGGGGCTGACGAGGCGTTCAAGAGTAAGTGGGTATCTGCGACTTTCTATACACATTGCTCATGAGCTACTTGTAGTGGTATCGAAGGCATTCCAAGTGCTATCAGGTACGGGTTATGGCCGTTCCTATTTCGTTTGTTTACCCTTGACTTCTTAGATCCCCAAAAGCGTGCAGCATTCGATCAACATGGCTCTGATCCTGAATCGAGATTTAGTGGCATGTCGTCGAGCATGTCACCAGGTTTCTCTCCGGGAACGTTCACTAGCTTCGAAGGGGAGATGAGCCCAGAGGAGCTATTCAATATGTTCTTTGGAGGTGGGATGAACGGTGGCTTTGGTGCAGGCCCCTTTGGAGGACCTGTGTTCACTGCGACGTTTGGCCCCGGCGGTTTTCGCAGGACTCGTATGCACGTCAATAGGCGTACACCGCCCAATACAGAAGGCCAGCAGGGTCAGGCACGGCCGTTGTTCCTACAACTGCTCCCACTGCTACTTCTCTTCGCGTTTTCCATCCTATCCGCCCTCCCTAACCTGTTGTCCTCTTCGACACCTGACCCCCGTTTCGCGTTCTCTCATTCGCCGAGGTTTAACATTGAGCGACAAACGACTAATTTGGGTATACGGTACCATGTCAATGGCCCGGAATTCCTTAATCACCCCAAGATTGCTGCAGATCTTGCGGGCGGGCCTGTACGAAGAGGTTCGGCGCTCGCTCGTTTTGAAAGCCAAGTGGAACACACCTACACTCAAGATCGATATGCGGAATGTCAGCGCGGTATGAACGAACGAGAAAGGCGGAAGGAGGCGGAAATAGGATTTTTCGGTGTTGGGACGGACTGGGAGAAGGTGAAACGAATTGAGGCGGAGAGGATTGAGAGTTGTGAGGAACTGAGGAGGTTGGGTGTCCTTGGATGACGAGCTCGGAGCAGACCTACCTATGGCGTATTTATACCATTCCGGCACTAATGTTCTCAAATATCATGGACCTGGCTAGACTAGTTGGTTGGACGCGTGAATTAATTTAAAGAGCGTTTATACAACGATGGCATTTTCCAAAAGAATTATTCCTCCGTCCAGGTTGTCTACGCAGCTTCCTGAACCCGACTTCTCTCCAGCCTGAGGTAGTACTCCTCCTGACGTTGTACTGTGAAAAATATGAGACGGTTTGTTCCGAGGTGGTTTACGCTCGATACATACGCGATTTTAAGTGAATGCCATACCTGTTGGCCGTGAGCGAGCGAAACACGGAGACGGAAAGGACATACCAAAAACCATAAGCAGCAGTGACGCCGAGACCGAGGCCGACGGAAAGGTCGAGCCAGAGCCTCTTTCTGAGCATTCCAGTGATGGGTGCGATGGGCATGGTAGTGTGTGCGGTCCAAGTCGGGAGGAGAGCGCGAGACACACGCAGACCAAACAAGGCCACAACAACAGCTGTGCTTGGGGCAGCCCTCCTCACCCTCGACTTGCTTGCCAGCCGGGTCCAATCGTGTGCTACGCTCGTGTTCGATCTGGAAATCAGGGAATCTTGTCTTTCAGTGCCATTCCATCCCTTCAACTGCAACATCCTCTTCCCCTGCACCCACAACCCGTCAACTCAAGCCAGTCATCATCATGGACATGGATCCGTCAGGCTCAGGTGGCTGGCGATTTGCGCAATGCTTCGGTGACAAAGGCGACGTGGAAGACATCACTGAAGGTGCGTCCTACTTCAACGGAGAGAGGGACATGACGAGTGAGTCGTCTTATCTAAACGAAACCCTTCATTCGCACCATAATCAGCCGACATTATATCGACCGTCGAGTTCGATTCAACTGGAAATTACCTCGCAACAGGAGACAAGGGCGGTAGAGTCGTCCTCTTCGAACGGAACGAGTCTGTGAGTTGCTCCCCTGATCCCCGATGCCTTTCTCGGCTGATGCACCCTCGATCATGTCCCCATCCGAATCCTCCATGCCATCTGTACGCCCATACTGTGCTCCGGTCAATCGATAACTTGCTGGACAGAAAAAAAGCTGCGAGTACAAGTTCTACACCGAGTTTCAATCACACGAACCAGAGTTCGACTATCTAAAGTCACTAGAAATCGAGGAGAAGATCAATAAGATCAAGTGGTGCAAACGACAGAACACCGCCCATCTCCTCTTGACTACCAACGGTATGACATCCCTTTGCCACTGTCGTAGCCCTATCCTCATCCCCTTAGACAAAACGATCAAGTTGTGGAAGGTTTTCGAGAAGTCGTTACGCGTGGTCTCAGAGACAAACCACTACGAAGGGCAACGAGCACTACCACCGCCCAGCTTACGGACTCATCTCAAACTTCCTCGCATGATGTTCCAGGAAAACATCATCGCTGCACTCCCCCGTAAAGTTTACGCGAATGCACACGCATACCACATTCATTCCATATCCGTTAATTCGGACCAGGAAACGTTCATCTCTGCCGATGATCTCCGTGTCAACCTTTGGAATCTTGGCATCAGCAATCAAAGCTTTAGTGAGTCCAGTTCTGAGCTGATCCACCCCGAAGGTACTGACAGGGGGTTGCACCAGATATCGTGGATATCAAGCCCGTCAACATGGAAGAACTCACGGAAGTCATCACTGCAGCAGAGTTTCATCCCCAACAGTGCAATGTCTTCATGTACTCTAGCTCGAAAAGCAACATTAAGCTGGCGGACATGCGGGACTCCGCACTGTGCGATCGGCACGCAAAATGTACGTCCTCGACGGACTCCTGTCGCTGACTCTCTAATTGTGCACCCTTATCACAAATCCAAGGCTTCGAGGAGGAGGAAGACCCCTCTACGCGTTCATTCTTCTCGGAAATCATTTCATCTATATCCGATGTCAAATTCAGCCACGATGGACGGTACATCTTGTCGCGAGATTACCTATCACTGAAGATCTGGGACATCAATATGGAGTCCAAACCCGTCAAAACCATTCCCATCCACGATCATCTTCGCGGGAAACTCTGCGATCTATACGAGAACGACTGCATCTTCGATAAGTTCGAGTGTGTCTGGGGTGGTGATGACAAGTGCGTCATTTCTTTTCCACTCCGTTCCATGATAAGAGCCCCTATAACGTCAACGTAGGCACGTGTTAACTGGATCGTACCACAACTTCTTCCGGATATTTGACGTGGATTCTCCCAACGATGTCGTATTGCAAGCCGATAAGTCGGCATTCAAGGCGAAGAAGATAGGCGGGCCTTTGCCGAATAAGAACGGCTTGAAGAATGGGCGACCAGGTGGCTTGAGAGAAGCGATGCAGTCTGAGACGCTTGACTTTAACAAGAAGATCCTTCACGCGAGCTGGCATCCGAGGGAAAATACTATTGCTGTAAATTCTTCCACTTTCATCTTCCCTTCTTCCAGCGTGACTGACTTGCTTCCCGCAGATCGCAGCGACGAACAACCTGTTTTTGTATAGTGCAGCATGAAGTTGTGCCTCTCCGTACTAATTGACAATCCTCTCATAATGTCGTCGGACACACGCAAGGGTTTAAACCAAATAGACCGGAAGTGGGCTTCGTGATGATCCTGCGTTTTCGCCTTATCACCTCGGATGATGATATTTTTTACTTTCAGCTTGGCCTGTACTTGGGACGCGCCATGCACATGTCGAACTCATGATTACGACTACTACCACCAGCACTCACACCTTACGAACACGATACCATATATTACACACTCGCTCGGATTCCCTTGGTCATTGCATATAGTTTTCCTCCCCCTCCCCCCATTACAGTCTTTGCAGCTGACCCTTTGTCCATCCCTCTTCATAGTCCCTTGTTGTGTTTGGTATAAAATCTGGCACGTCATCTCAAACTAACTACGGCCTATAAATGAGTTCACCTTGGCTATCTTCGTGCGGCAGTTCAGATTCCCGGTATATAGGGGCTGTTAATAGAGGCATGAATGGTTGCGCATCGCTTGTATATACATATGTCAGGGGTAGTACTCGGACGCTGATCGATATCTTCAATTTCTATACCTTTTCTGTTCTCCCATTTTGGTGATGTTGTCTTCGTTCTTTCAGGTATGCCCTCTCCGTCGATTCAACCACACCTACTCTATCAGTGTGACGGCCCCAAATCTCAAGCACACGTGTGCCTCACCTCTCAATGTAGTGTGTCTAAACCCGCTGCAAAAAAGGCGGACATGATTGTCATCGAAAAATAGACGTTTTAACTTGCGACGCGGGGTTTCCCTACTTCCAAGCCTACATCCATCACAGTGCAGGTCTGCTAGTAGGCGCAATATTAGGAGATCGCAATTAGTGAGTGGGGCGACACCGAAGTATGTCAACCGGAGAGGACGAAAACCGATGACCGTTATCCCATTTTCCTCTTTCTCGTACTTCTTCTTCCTGTATGCTCTCAACATTGAGCGGCCATGTTAACGGTGGTTTGCGACATAATTTGTTTAGCTTGTACATGCGGGACCCCGCAGCCATCCGTCGTATAAATCACAGGTCATTAGTGCATCGATACACTCAGGCAATGTCTTCTACACGTACATAGCATGTCATAGCTCTTCAGATTGAAATTGGGATGCGCCTCTATGGTGTGCATGCGCGACTACGACCACTCTCATCCTGAATATGGCTAGAACATGTTTCCGTCAGAGGGACCGTCTGTAGCCCATCAGAATTAATTCAGAAGGTCCGACTCGGACAACGTGTACAAGGACGGGAACAACGTGGGGTATCGATACAGCGGTCATCCCTGTTGAAGACCTGTAGCCATCGGAAAAGTGAGCATTAACATGCTGCTCGCATCATGTGAAACTGTCCGAAACTTCTGTCCAACAATCTTCCTATGGAGGTCCCGAGGCCCGCTGCTCAGTTTGCGACTAAGCCATACTACCTGCTCTCGTCGCGCCTTTGCATCTTGACGGGCCGCATCACCACTGGTGTCTGCTACATGTTCTTTGCTTTTATCAATTATCAGAATCATGGGGTCACGATGGGATGGTGTATAGATTTCGTTATGGATGGAAGAGAGGTGAGTGCCGAAGTAGCATCAGCAAGGAGGTCATCTATCGGGCAGTAGTAATGGGGACGAGGCCATTCGGAGCGGAAGTGCGGCATGAAGAAGGCGGCAGGCAACAGAACCACAGGGGCTATGCGCACTAAATCTGGCATGACTGGTCCATGCGCCAGCTGCAACGTGTTGACGGCGCCTGAACCGTCAACACTTCCTCGTTTACGCCCTCATCTGCAGTTCGAACAAGCGGGTCGCCAGAATAAGCGGCGCCTAATCACTTACGATACTTACGTTCCATGTGAGAAATGCATCCGATTGGTCGAATGTCCGTGTTCAGATCTTTAGAGGATGGAGATCATCAGTAGCTGACATGATAACAATGATAACGAGCATGACAATTTTATCTGACTTCAATCCAATCATAATTTGTAGTACTCTAATACTTGTCATAGTAGTCTACCTATGCTTCCCCATCAGAACCACTAACAAACTGAACCCCCACTCCATGGAATGTATTGAAAACCTCCTTATCTGCAAAGTGGTTGAGAAAAAAACAGTTATAAAGCTCTTGTGATGTAGTGGAAGATACAGTGGATGGCACTTTTTCACTGCCAAATACAGGGACAAGCTCTAATGCACGTGAAATCCAAGTAATGGGAATGTCACAGCCCTCTTGTTTCTGTTCACCTTCCATGTTGAAAAAGCACCTTTCCAGTGTCCACATCTGCAGCTCTGGTTGCTGCTCTGGGGTGGCAATGACATGGAAAGGCTGCAGATAAATGAGGGGATTGTTGAGATGCAGAGGGGCTTCCACCTTGGAGTGTGGACATGCATGAGGCTGGAAATGGTGCGAACTTGTGCCACATAACTGGCATCTGTGTGCAGGGAATATGTCAATATAGATCAGTACATATGTGGAAGCAGCACACCATTCAGGGGGCTGATTAAAACAACATCACAACACCCATGCAGGAAATCTGGGGAGGTATGCAGTGCTTGAACAACTTGACTCGGGAGAATTGTAGAAGTGTGGAATGTGGAATACAGTTGAACATGGAGTTTATGCCACACAGTGATATGGTTGAAGGTGCATGAGTCAAAGTGGATGTCAAGGGAATGCAATTGAAGAAATTCTAGATAATGGTCTTGAAAGTCAGGGAGGCTATATTGTTCCATGATGTCGTTCAGTGACAAGTTGGTCTCATCTGGACATGACATGATGTGTTATGCCTCCATCAGGGGCCTTTCCTTTTTCATCTCCTCATGGTTGCATGTGTCACGTGCTTGGTCACGTCTCTAATAACCATCGCCATCCTAGGGGCTTGAATGCTCCAGGGAATGTTTGGATCTCCAGCTGTCAAGGTATTTCCAATACCGGTCAAGACCACATTGCCGCTGTGATCTGGTGTTCCACTGCCCTCCCTGATGGATGACTTATCTTGTTTATGTTCCGTTCTGACTCACCTTTATTGCTCACATGTTGTATTATAGTTCCAGTGTCAGGCTCCTTGCTGCGCATTGATTGCGCCAGCCAGTATAGCCATCATTGCCTCCCTACCCCCATCTTTGACACCATATGACTCTTATTTATTTGACTGATTGTTCTGTTGACTACTGTGGATATGCATTGCAACACGTCTGTTGCAACTGGTACAGTACTCATACTTGGAGGTATATAACCCCACATACTTTACCTTGTATCCTCAGTTTTTTGATAGCTTGCAACTCAGCTAACTTCCTTCTCATCCATCCTTGTTCTCTCTCTGTGTGAACAACCTTAGGGACTCGCTGGCAGACAGAACCTCTGTTGGATATTTGAGATAACTGAGCCATAGGGGTTATGACAAGTTCGGCCCATAGTCTCCCACCCTTGCACTTTGTGCCTATTCCATTTGAAGAAGTCACTGCACTCAGGCATAACAAAATCGAAAAACTCAACACAGTTTTTGGGACTTGTCGACCTCTTTGCGAAAGTCTACTTGTCCCTGGTTACTGAACTTCAACAAACCAAGTCGAATCAAGTTGAGCTCATTGGTCTCCCTCAGTGTAAAGAACAACTCGCTCTTCCTTTGCTCCTCAACTGCTCTACACAAGCATAACAAAATTGAGAAGCATCCCTCTACCCTCAATCAAATCCACTGCTCTACAGGCAGCCACTAGGCTTTAATAGATCGCCTCCCTAGAGTCAGTGCTCATGTCTCCCTACATGTAAAGCCACTCACGCACCATCAACAATATTTCCGCTGACAGGTTTCTTTCAAGAAATAAATCCTCCCTCAGCCTTTGTTATCACTTCTCGTTAAAGTGTCTAACCCGCAGAAATCGAGACCTCCAGTCCCACCTAGACCCAATCCCTTAGGGCTTGGAAGGAATCCTCCCTTGCCACCTATTCCTCTAGGAAGACTAGGCCCCTCAGTTATGTCAACCAATCCTCAGTTATCTTACTTATCCTGGTTTAGGGATTTGGAAGTTGCACTTAGTTCAGAAGAAGATGATGATCAGAAGTCCAATACTTTGCTCGGATCAGTCCTCAAGGAAGAAGAACTGGAAGTGCACAAGTTACCAGAAATGTCCATGACACTTGGTCATGGAGAGTCTGCTCCTGAGATGCCTACAAGGACCTTCTTGGAAGAGGAGCTGAGACAAAGGTTGGAAGATCAACGATTCGCTATGGCAGAGGAAATTCACAAGGTGATGAACACCCAGAATAGCAATCCATTTCCAACAGGAATGCCTACGGACTCAGCATTACGTGAATGGTATGCTAGGAACTTCGGAAAGGTAATTCCCCCAGAGGGCCCCATCAGAGGGTCCAGTAAGGGTAAGGCCCCAGCTGATCCTGATGACATGTATGATTGCTGCCCACCCAATGGAGGAAGGGAGTTTAATGTCAGGCATCCTGGAGAATACGATGGAAGCCACAATGGGCTTCAGACCTGGCTGACTCAGGTTGAAGGATACTTGAACCTGAACAAGCATGTGTACAATTTGGAGTCGCTCAAGATCTCATTCATGCTCACATATATGACCAAAGGTGTGGCAGTCTCTTTTGCTGAAAATTACCAAAACGAAAATAGACTTCTTGACAGAACCATCTACTACACGGATTCATTCCAGAGGTTTGTGGAATGTCTTAAAGCTACTTTCGAATCCAGCGATCAAACTGCTCTCACAATACTACACCTTTTGGATATATCTCAGGGAAAACAAGAATTGGAGTCCTATATTGCCAAGTTTACGGGGCTTGTCAACAAGGCTCAACTTAAAGAAGAGTCATGAGAAGCAGGGATCTTCTTTGGAAAAGGATTGAACAAAGAATACTGCAACTGGGTTCTCAATTCTGGATGCACCCCTTCCATGGTCATAGAGTGGATACAGTGTGTGGGAGAAGCTTGAACCGCAATTGCTACCAAACACATCCTTGAAGGGAAGGAATCTTGGTATGAATGCAAATATATTCATTACCACAGAGGTTCCCAAGATCCTGATGCGATGGACATTGACAAACATAAATGGAACATTAGACACTCTGGTTCGGAAATTAAATGCTTCAACTGTGGAGCTGAAGGTCACATCAAGCGTGACTGCAAATCCAAGGTCAAACAACTTTTGGGGATCTGCATAGTTCTCAAAGAAGATGGCATGAAGACTGCTTATATTGGAGATTGTGTTGCAACTGTGGATGAAAGGAGAACCTTTGGGTTGGATTTTTAAAGAGGACTGACGATCCTCCTGCTGTAGTCAGTCCTGTTGCCATTTTGTCTGCTAAATGTACCTCTATAGATGACAAGTCAAATATGTGAATCCACTCTCCTCTTGGATTGGTCATTTTACTGGACTTCAAGGCAGGAATTTGGGCCTGTATTGACTCAGGCACCGAGGTGTCCCTCATCTCAGAACGAATGGTGCAGAAACTTGGAATCCCGATGTACCACATCAAAAGCAAGTTCAAGACCACTTCATTTACTGGAAAAGATGTGGAATGGGTAACTCGAAAAGTAACCCTCAAGATGGACATCAAAGATCACATCATGTGAGTCAAGTGCTATGTTGGACCTTTGGTCGGAAAAGAACATATCCTTCTTGGCATGCCGTTTCTCAAAGAATTCAAACCAAGGATGAATTGGGAAACCGGGAAAATCACATGTTGGGATGATGGGTACATTTATCCTGAAGGATCTGACCATTACATCAAACAGGTAGTGTCTCTGGACACGGACAGTATGAAGGAATCTTCCTGTCTGTCCCAGGAAGTAACCCTGGGAGGCAAACCCAAGGTTGTTATTAATAAAACCACTTTGTCCACAGAACTTGAGGCTGCTTTGGCAGCAAACAAGGAAGAGGTCAAGCTTCCTGAAATGTACAAGGAGTTTGCCAAAGTGTTTGCAGAAGATGATATCCTGCTACTGGCACATTGGCCAGGATTGGATCATGAGATTAGACTCCATGATGAATTTAAGCCTAAAAAGGCAGCAGTATACCCTATGTCCCCTGACGAACTTAAAGTTTTAGATGAGTTTCTTGATGAAAACCTAAAATGCAAAAAGATTCGACCTTCAACATCGCCACAAGTGGCACTGGTGTTCTTTGTTGCCAAGAAAGATGGGAAGAAGTGGTTAATTCAAGATTACCACTACCTCAATTCATTCACCATCCCAGACGCACACCCATTTCCAAACGCACAAGCACTGTTTGATGAGCTTGTCGAATCAAAATACCATGCCAAGTTTGACATTCACTGGGGTTTTACCAACCTCTGAGTCAAAGAAGGAGATGAGTGGAAAGGGGCCTTCATCACCCCTAGAGGGCTGTTCGAGCCCACAGTAATGTTCTTTGGACAATGCAACTCACCTCCCTCTTTTCAGAGGTATATGGATAAAACTTTCAAATTGCAAAGAGGAAAACAGGTCAGCTACATGGACGATGTTGCCATACATGGAAAGACCAAGGAAGAACTTCGAACTCGTGTTCGCAAGTTCCTGAAGATCTGTGACAGAGAAGGACTGTGCCTCAAGATTAGCAAATGTGTCTTTGAGGCCAAAGAAGTAGAATTCTTGGGAATGATTATTGGAAAAGGGCGCATGGAGACTTTGCCAACTAAAACCGATGCCATCAGTACCTGGGAAGCCCCTGACAATCTTACCAGGCTTCGTCAGTTCCTGGGGTTCTGCAACTTCTACCGCAAGTTCATCCCTTCCTTTTCAAGTATTGCTCACCTGCTACATGACCTAACCAAAAAGGGAGTGTCCTACCAGTGGACACCGGAACATGATGCTGTGTTTGAAAAATTGAAATCTTTGTTATGCTCCTCTCTGGTCCTCACTATTCTGGACTTTTCGAAGCCCTTTGCCCTTTTCACAGATGCTTCGAAGCTTGGGACTGGCATGGTCCTTGCCCAAAAAGGAGCTGATGGGGAGTGGCATCCGTGTTCCTATCTTTCGCAGTCTCTGGTCAGTGCCAAACAGCATTATCAGGTCTATGACCTGGAAATGCTCGCTGTTATTCATGCCCTGAAGGCCTTCCGCCCTTACCTCCTCTCTCCAGTCAAACCCATGGTGGTCTTTACTGACCACAAGAATTTGGAGTATTATCACGAACCGCAACAGCTTACCCCTCGCCAGGCCTGTTGGGCCACCACCATCCAGTTGTACCCTGTTCGGTTTTCTTGGCAGGCAGGACATCTCCAGGTCCCCACCAACACACTCTCGCACAAAAGCACACTTGAGGAGCCTGCCCCTGTGGCCACGGTCCTACCCCCAGACCTTTGGCTTTTGGAGGGGGTGGATTCCCAAATCCGCCTTGTTTTGCCTTCTTTTTCCCTCACAAAAATACATAAAATACATAAAATAAAC